AGGGAGCATGCCTACCTCCCAGGTGGGTGGGGGACTGAGCACTTGTACACAGCGGTGAAGTACTGTCCAGAATTGCTGCTGATCAGACGGACACTGCCATCACAGACAGCCCGCCCCGGGGTCTCTGCCTGGAATCCTCACGGCATCTAAAATATGGCCAGAGGAGCCCTGGCCATGGGTCAGGGCACGTGCCAGGAGGCAGCAGATCAATATTTTTCTCTCTCTCTCTACCGCTCCCTTCCTCGCTCTCTAAAAGCAACAACAAAAACATATGTAAAAATCTATGGCGAGAGGAATCAGAGGCAGGAACTCAGCTCTGCCCAGCAGCTCTCGTCGCTGCCAGCTAGCTCCCCTGCAAAAAGCTCTCTCACTCACCTCCGTGGGCGGTGCCAGCCCCAGGCCTGGCACAGAGGCCTGGATACTTGAGCGGAGTGACCTCACCTCTCAGCCTCCATTGCCCTCCTGACAAGTTGGAGAATCATATTTTCCTCTGGGCGGCCAGGGGTGGACAGATGCTGTTCTCACACAGGGGCCAGGCATACAGCTACCCCCCCTGCTCACCAGGGTCACCCCACAGAGTCCAGGCCTCCCAGAGGAACAGTCCGGGAGGCAGAGACTGGGAGGAATAAAGAAAACCGGCCACCAGAACCTGCCTCCTCCAGAGAGCGCCCCTCCCGTGGGGGCAGAGGGCTCCCTGACTAGCAGTGAAAGGAAACCCAGAGATACGGCCCAGGGCTCCCTGGAGCTGGGGGGGGGGGGGGGGGGGACGACGGCTGAGACTCAGACGCCCTCACCGTGACTGGACATGTCCTGCCTGTGGCTGGAACACCAGGCCCTCATCACCCCCCCCCCCCCAGGTCCCCAGCATTCCTCCTGGAGAGGCAGGCTCCCCATCCACCCCATCTGCTCACACCTTGAAGGAGGCTGCCAGGAGCAGCAGGGAGCAGCCGCAGGTCACTGTCCCTTTAAGGATTGTTTGTCCCTGAAGCCCGGTGGGGTGGCCACCCCCCACCGGTACCTCCTCCACTTTCCCTCCAAACAACAGGCATCCGCTCGGGGACCCGCACGGCCAGCGCCCAGGGGGGCAGGTCTGTTCCTGCCACCGCCCCCCCCCCCCCCACATCTGACAGGCGAGGAAACTGAGGCTCGGAGCGGCCCGGCCCCCGCGGCGGTGGCACCGCCATGCGGGTCCCTGGGGCCTTAGGGTCCCGCGGACCGCGAGTGCTGACAGCCGGAAGCAGTGACAGTGGGGAGGGCACCCCCGTCTGGAGGGCTAACCCCGCCCGGCGGGTGAGGGACAGCCGAGCACCAACACGCCCCGCGCCCGGTGAGGACCGGAAGGCAGGCGCCCCGACCCGGCGGGTCTGAGCCCTCCCGGGCACCCCGATCCCGCACCCCTGCGCCCTCGGTGACCGCGTCGGGGAGAGGGTGCCCCAGCTCCGAGCGCGGCAGGCCGAGTGGGCCCCGAGGGCCGGGAGCCCCGGGTCCCTCCACCACCGGCACCCCCCGCCCTCCCCGACCCTCCCGGGCTCCCCCTCCGCCGCTCACCTGACCGCCGCCGCCCCGGCTACATCGTGTCCCGCCCGCCGCCCTCCGCGCTACATTGTATCCGGCCGCCGCCCGCTGCTGCCGCCTGCGGCCCGGAGGCTCATGGCACGCGCGCCCGCCCTCGCCGCGTCCCCGGGAAATGGAGATATTTGATCTCGCCGGTTGGCGATGGTGTGGCCAGGCGAGGGCGGGGAGGGGCTGCATTAGTCTAATCCACACTTTTGAAAAAACTGGTGCTTTTTCTTTTTGTTAAACCCCAGGGGTTGAGAGGGAGGAAGAAGGAATAGGGAATGAGGGGCAAGCAGCTCCCTGCGCGCAGGTCCAGCTGCCGACCGGACCCTAGGTGGTGTTCAGAACCGTCGACCTATCCGTTTTACAGAGGAGGAAACTGGGGCTCGGGAGGATGGAGGTGGTGGTGCAGAAGCCAGTGTTCCCCGCCCTGCTTGTTTCTCTCCGTAACCCTCATCGCTGTCTTATACATTTTTACTCTAATTGTCTGTCTCTGCCCACTCACCCCCAGCACCACCACCACCAGAAACTAAGGGCTGTGGGCAAGGGTTTTGTCTGCTTTCTTCACTGCTTCTGGGCCTACAGCAGTGAGCACAGGGGGCACTGGGTTACATGGTCGGAGGAAGAAGAGTCCGGAGAGGCTGGCCCTGCCGGGGGGAATGTCCCAACTGGCGCCGGGGGCGCACTGCGCAGACGCGTGTTAGCAGCAGTTGTCTGGAGATCCAGACGGGGAAAGTGCAAGTGCAAAGGCCCGAGGAAGCGAAAGAGGCTGCTGTGCCTGTGAAACAGAAAGCAGGTCAGTGCGGCCACAGGGGAAGTGGGAGGACTGAGATGGGAGAGGTGGGGACATTTGTACACACACGGCTTTGATTTGGGCTGAGATAGGAGGCATTGAAAGTCTCCTTTTTCTTAGCAGTTTATTGAAGTATCGTGTGCACACAATAAACTGCACGCGTGTAAGTGCTCCATCTGAGAGCTTTGCCATGCGCAGGCACCTGAGAAACTATCGCCATAATTAGTAAACCTGCCTTGGCCAGGTGCCTCCGTTGGTTAGAGCATCGTCCCATCCACCAAAAGGTGGTGGGTTCGATCCCCGGTCAGGGACTTGTTCTTTGTAACTGGGAAAGCTTCCTAGAGGGAGAAGGGACCTGGCCACACGCTGTGGCCCTGCTGCTTGCAGCTGTGCCTTTGGGCCGTTTCGCCTGTCTGCAGTGAAAGCTGCACTGGATCTGTAAGCATCTGCTGTCAGGGTTGTGGTGGAGTGAGGAGCTCACCACCACGGGTGCTGCCAGGAGCCCCCAGGGGGTCTAGGACTATTGGAGTTAGCAACTCAGAAACCATTGCTTAGATTAACATGTCCTGGTGGAGTGCTGTTTATCTGAAATTCCATGTCGCTGGGCATCCTGTATTTGTCTGGCAGGCCCACCGGGCGTGAGGTCATCTCCTAGCTCCCAAGCAGCCCCTGTACTTGGTCAGGCAGAGGGCACAGGGCACGGGGAGAGTTGGGGCTGGAGTGTGCCCAGGTAGGAACGCCCTGGCCCTTCACCTGGACTGCAATGGACAGGTGGACCTGGACAAACAGCCAATGAGGTGGCTGACCCAAAACACCTGCAAGAGGGTCACCCACACTGGGTGGTGTCGGGCCTTCTAGGAGGTTCTGAGACAAAGCAGCCGCTGAGCTGGCTCTCCTGCCCCTCCTGCCCATGTGCTCCTGCAAAAAACTCTCTTCATTAATAATAACAGACACAGCCCGGCTGGCAGGGCTCAGTGACTGAGCGTCGACCTATGAGCCAGGAGGTCAGGGTTCCATTCCTGGTCAGGGCACATGCCCGGGTTGTGGGCTCCATCCCCAGTGGGGGGCGTGCAGGAGGCAGCAGATCAGTGATTCTCATCGTTGAAGTTTCTATCTCTCTCTCTCTCTCTCCCTTCCTCTCTGAAATCAATAAAAATATATTTTAAAAAAGAAGAAGAACAGATACATAGAGGAGCTGACACTTGCGACCCTTATCGTGGGCCACCTGCTGCTCTCACCACTTTCTGTGTGTGCTTCAGAGCCAGCTCCTCAAAGGCAGGGTGGCCGAAGGAGGGGGGACTGAGTGATGTGAGCAGAATGAGGTTCTGTGGGCACAGGTGCTCAGGAGGGACGTGTGCTTTGGGGCCATTTAAAGCAAAGTCGAGGGAGGCACAGCCTTGGGCCGAACACCTGGTTCTGCCACTTGCAGCTAGCAAATGCCCCCACTCCTCTGAGCTCCATTCCTTTGCAGCGAAAGGTGGACAATAATGCGAAGGTTCCGTGAGATGAGGCCCCTAAAGCCGTGGCCTGGGCCCAGCATGAGCTCCTGTGGTTGTTAGGAGCTGGGAAGACCGAGGTCCGCCCTGAGCAGGTGTCTCAACTCCTTTTAGGTCACAGAACCCTTTGAGAACCTGAGCTGTGGATGCCCCAAATTTGTGGAGGCTGGCAGGCCTGAGAAGCCCCCCCTGGCTGTGGGGGAGCCCTGCTGCTGCCCAGTTCCCGTCATCATGCGGCGGTGAGAACCCAGCACAGGGCTCAAGACCACCCCCTCCCTGCAGCCTCATGTGGGGTGCTGAGCAGATGGGAGAGTCTCAGAGCCGCCGGGCACAGTGCAGGCGTCTCCAAGCGTCAGTTGCAAGAACGCGCTTCTCTGTGGCTCCAGCCACAGCCTTGGCCCTTTCCCGGCTTCAGTGCCCTTGTCTGGATCAGGGCCCTCAGTCCCGCTGGCTTCCTCCTTCCACACAGATCCCCACACAGAACAGCTGCTCTCCTGCTGGGAGGGACCCAGGTTTGGTGACACCCCGGGCTGAGGGAGGAGGTACCTGGGCCCAGTGCAGCTCTGCACACCATCAGCGTGGGCCCGGGGCACTCAGCACCTGGTGGGCTTCCGCTTCTTTTCAGGGCAGAAGGGCCAACATCACTCCCTGCCAGCCCGCTGGGTGCTGTGGCCACCACCAGCCCCTAACCCCCCACCCCTCAGTCCCACATCCCCCCTAGCCCCCCCCCCCGGCCCCCACCAGCAAGCCCCAACCCTTCAGCACGCCTTTTCCCAGGGGGTGCTGGAGTCCTCCCTTCTGGCCTCTCCCTTGGATCTTGGCCTTCCTGCCTCTGACACAGCGCACAGATGAGCCAGAGGGAAGCTCTGGATGGGCATCACCTGTAGGACTAGGGATTGTTTCCAAGTCATGGAGAGCCTGACTGGGGCTCTGAGGTGACGCTTCATCCAAACATGGCCCATTTCCCCACCGTCACTTCCAGGAGCCCCTTGGGGCTGTGCCTCGAGACACCCGCAGGCTCCAAGCAAAGGCCTGTCCCAGCCACCAGCCTGGGAGACAGAGGGCCCCTGCCCTGCCCCAGGTTCCACCTGTCCCTCCTCAATCCTCGGGCCCAATTCTCCAGAATAAAAAGAAATCTCCAGCACCAGGGAGGGGAATCTGGCAGCAATAAATTTATTAAGTATCCCCCCAAATATGAACACAAACAAGTTAAAAAAAACACACATGAGACTTCAGACCCAGAGCTGACAAAGCAGAGACAAACGAAACACAAAAATGGGAAGGACCTATGGAGGGAAGACAGAATGGAGTGCTGCAAATACGAAGGACAGACACTCGGGGGCCTAGGGTGATGTGCTGTGGGGCGAGGCTGGGGCGGCGTCAGCGACTGTGTGGCTCTGGGGACAGCCCTCTTGGCCCTGGTCCCCGGCTGCCTCACTTGGGGCCCTGGGCCTCCGACTCCTCCTCATCATCTTCATACATCTCCCCCTCCTCCTCGGCCGTGGCGTCCTGGTACTGCTGGTACTCGGACACCAGGTCGTTCATGTTGCTCTCGGCCTCGGTGAACTCCATCTCGTCCATGCCCTCGCCCGTGTACCAGTGCAGGAAGGCCTTACGCCGGAACATGGCCGTGAACTGCTCCGAGATGCGCTTGAACAGCTCCTGGATGGCCGTGCTGTTGCCGATGAAGGTGGAGGACATCTTGAGCCCCCGGGGCGGGATGTCGCACACGGCCACCTTCACGTTGTTGGGGATCCACTCCACGAAGTAGCTGCTGTTCTTGCTCTGAATGGCCAGCATCTGCTCGTCCACCTCCTTCATGGACATGCGGCCGCGGAAGATAGCGGCCACCGTCAGGTAGCGGCCGTGGCGGGGGTCGCAGGCAGCCATCATGTTCTTGGCGTCGAACATCTGCTGGGTGAGCTCGGGCACCGTCAGGGCCCGGTACTGCTGGCTGCCCCGGGCAGTGAGGGGGGCGAAGCCGGGCATGAAGAAGTGCAGGCGGGGGAAGGGCACCATGTTCACCGCCAGCTTGCGCAGGTCAGCGTTCAGCTGGCCGGGGAAGCGGAGGGAAGTGGTGACCCCGCTCATGGTGGCCGACACCAGGTGGTTGAGGTCCCCGTAGGTGGGCGTGGCCAGCTTGAGGGTGCGGAAGCAGATATCGTAGAGGGCCTCATTGTCGATGCAGTAGGTCTCGTCCGTGTTCTCCACCAGCTGGTGGATGGACAGCGTGGCGTTGTAGGGCTCCACCACCGTGTCCGACACCTTGGGCGAGGGCACCACGCTGAAGGTGTTCATGATGCGGTCGGGGTACTCCTCCCGCACCTTGCTGATGAGCAGCGTGCCCATCCCGGACCCCGTGCCCCCGCCCAGCGAGTGCGTCAGCTGGAAGCCCTGCAGGCAGTCGCAGTTCTCACACTCCTTCCGCACCACATCCAGGACGGAGTCCACCAGCTCGGCGCCCTCCGTGTAGTGACCCTTGGCCCAGTTGTTGCCAGCCCCACTCTGACCTGTGGGGAGTCAGAAGGTGGCATGACAGGGTCAGGCCTCCAGTGCCTGAGCGTCCCAACCCAAAGGGCAACTGTGGCAGCCCTGTGCCTGCTTTCCCTCCACAAAGTGGGGGCCCACCCCTCCTCTCCCCGTGGCTCTCCCCACCAGCTGTGCTGTGTGGGGGTCCCTGCTGCCCGGCACCGTGTGAAGGGCTCTGTCAGAAAGTGAGAGCCTGGAGATGCGGCTGCTCTGTCTCGCTTGGGGGTCCTGGGTGAACCCATCAGCCCCTCCCTCCAGCCCACCCACCCTCCTGGGCAGTGCGGGAAGCGTCAACTACAAGCCCAGAGTCCCTTGCAGCTCCAGTCTGGATTCGACTGGTGCCCGTCGGTTGGGGTGCTAAACTCTGGAAGGCAGAAGTGAGGGAGGCCCTGCCACCAGAGTCGAGGGCACAGGATCACCCCACCTCTGGGTCCCAGGGACACTGTGCTCGTGAGCTCCCGCCTCTGGGGCCACCAGTCCTTCAGGGTCCTGTCCACGTAGTTCTGTGTTGCACGAGCTCTAGTTGAAGTGCACAGTGGCTTCTGTTCCCTGCACAGAGCCCTCTCTCTGGGCCTCCAGTGCCAGCTGCAGAGTGGGGGTCGGCTCTGCCTGCGAGTGTGTGGAAGGGGGGGCTGTGCCCTTTCGTTCCCGTTGACCTGGGTTTGCGGTGAAGGGTCTGCCTGACGGGAAACTTACCGAAGATGAAGTTGTCAGGCCTGAAGAGGTGCCCGAAGGCCCCAGACCGGACGCTGTCCATGGTTCCGGGCTCCAGGTCCACGAGGATGGCCCGAGGCACATATTTGTGAGCTGAGGGGGAGAGGGTGATGGGCATCATCGAGGCTCAGGGCTCCTCCTTCCTCTAAATCCTGTCCCCGCCCCCCTTAGACTCTGGGTCAGAGGGCTGGAACCAAGTGTGATATGGGGACTGGGGGACTGACGCTGGACAGCCCAGACCAAATTTCTCCAGTTCGACACGGACATCATCCCACATCAGCCCTAAGCATCCCCTGCCTGAGTCCTCCAGGTGACCCTGCTCTGGACCCTCAGGAGGACTCTGAGGGGACCTTCAGGTCCTGCCCAGACCTGTCTGCCCCCCTGGACTGTGCACATGTCTGTGGCCGAGGACATGTTTGAATCTCACTGTGGTGAGTCCCAGGTTCCACTTAACCTGCCAGCCCAGCAATGGGAGGGCAGGTCCAGGGGGTCCCAGGGAGGGTGGGGTGCTCACAGGAGGCCTCATTGTAGTAGACGCTGATGCGCTCCAACTGCAGGTCCGAGTCCCCCACATAGTTGCCACTGGGGTCTATTCCGTGCTCATCGCTGATGACCTCCCAGAACTGCAGGGGAAACGGGGGTCAGCAGAGGCCATGGCAGGCTTGGCCCCAAAGCCTGCAATAGCCCCTGGGAGACTCTGGAGAGCCCAAAGCTCCGTCGTCTGTCAGGTAAGTGTAAAAAATGTCACGTTCACCATCTGCACTTCCATGGTGGCCAGAGCCCTCAGAGGGGTTCGAGACTCAGCTGACACAGACCAGCTCTGCACCTGCTGACCAGAGTTAGTAATAAGCACCCCCTTTGGGTGGTATTATTCCATTTTCAGACGAGGAGTCTGAGGCACAGAAAGCGGACAGAGTCCAAGATGCTTATGTCCTCAGGGCAGAAGACATCCAGCGACAGGGCCCAGCAGTGTCCGGAACACCGTCAGCCTTAGCCACAGGAAACACAGGGGCCCCTGTGGGGAGTGACGTGCCCAGGGTCGCCCAGCCTGTCCATCCACCTCTGGCACAGCCCTAATTCCCAGGGCTCATACTCCCCCTTGGGCAGGAACCCACAGTGCTTCTCACACTCTGCTCCCCCGACTGCAGCAGGCAGGGGAGCAGCCCAGGACCCGGACTCAGAGCTGGACCGCCGTTTCCCAGCCATGTGACCTTGGGCAGGTCCTGAAGATGCTCTGTGCCTCAGTGTCCACATCTGTTTAATGGGTCTGATGATGAAAACAGGTCACTGTGAGAGCGGAGTGATCTGTGGGAGCAGGTGACGGTGTGTGGTGAGGCCTGAGTGCTGCGTGGAATTATGAGCACATGTGTCTGCACAGGACAAATACCCCGCTGCACAGGGCTCTGCCCTCCCCCAGGGGCACTGCCAGTGGGCCCTGCAGGCAGGAGGTCATATGCTATGGCCACTGGTCCAGTGCCCCTCCCTTTTGCTCTTCAGGGTTCCTTTCAGAAGCTGAATGGGTGTGAAGTCATCAAAAAACAACAGTCCCCTCCATAGGAGTCATGTACAGTGAAAAGGCTGTCCAGTTAAAAAATCAATTACAAATCAGTTTGCATGTGCTTACTAGTATCTATATTTAGATGCCTCAGACAGACGCACAGACACGGTGCCAAGGCCTGTGTTCCTGGGTTGGGGGAGAGACCTCTGATCACAGCATGCCCTTTGGTTCTTTTGGAGTTCTTTGTCACATGCACATGTTAACTTCACACACACACACACACACACACAAATAATAATAATAAAGATTAAATTGTTTAAAAACCGGAAGAGTAGGCCTAGCCAGTGTTGCTCAGTGGATAGAGCGTTGTCCTGCCGACTGAAGAATCTCAGGTTCAATTCCGGTCAAGGGCACATGCCCGGGTTGGGAGCTCAATCACCAATGGGGGCATGCAGGAGGCAGCCGATCAATAATTCTTTCTCTCATCATTGATGTCTCGCTCTCTCTCTCCCTCTCCCTTCTTCTCTGAAATCAATAAAAATATTTTTAAAAAAACCTAAAAAGTATAAAGAGTGTCCTTATTGTAAAATGTATATAAGCATCTTGGCAATTCAGAGCGACTGTTATCAGAGGCGACCCCTTCCCCCTGTTGTGTACTTTTGTCACTGACAAGTTCTCCTCTTTTTACTTTGTGTGTGTGTTAATTTTGTAATTACCAATCGGCTGAGCCCAGGGCCCTGGTCCCCACAACCCTGAGACACCCCAAACCTTTGGCCTCAGGGACACCTGCAGCTTCTGTAGAGGAGGGATGATTTCAACAGGGCAAATGGGAGGCCCAGTCACCAGGCCACCAACATATTGATGTCTCCAGGAGGGAGTGGAGCAGAGTGGGGGCGGGTCCCAGGTCCAGCTAGTGTCTGCCAGTCATCCCACCTCTGGGGAGAGACCTTAGTTTTCTCAGCTGTGAAGCAGACACGATAATAGTACCCACACACAGGGGTTAGCACAAGGCCTGACAGAAAAGCATTCAGCAAACGCTGGCTTTGATGAGCTAAAAATGTCTTAGATGCTATTTAAATTGGTGAAACCATATGCATGGATAGTTTAAATAAAAAGAAAACATAGTTTTGAAATATCCATATGCTTTGGAATCCTGTGGCCCAGTGAAAGGCTGTCACTGGTAAGAGATCTCCAAAACATATCCTTGGGCCCTAGCCGGTTTGGCTCCGTGGACAGAGTACTGGCCTGCAGACCAAAGGGCGCGTCTCTCTCACATCGATGGTTCTCTCTGTCTTTCCCTCTCTCTTCCACTCTCTCTAAAAATCAATGGGAAAATATCCTCAGGTGAGGATTAACAGAAAAAGACATATCCTTGGGGAAAAGGCACACTCAGAAGTAACAGAGTGTAAAAGGAAATCTCAGGACAGATGCCATATTTTCCACAAAGATCTAGGTGCACAGATCAGGGCCTGGAACAATGACTCCCGCTGGAGGGGGACCTGGGGGGGTGCGGCGGTTACATGGGCACAGCCTTACCTGCAATGTTTCCATTTGTTAAGGGGGGAATATGTTAATAACTGCGTTTGTGATTAAAACTAATAGAGATTATAATTTAAAATATTAAATAGATCTAATTGGATTATGTAACATTTAATAAATAATAAAGTACAATTTTTACATTAAATAAGAAATAATTATGGTCACTACAGGTGAGAAAACGGCCAGGTGGCCGCAGACCCCAGGGTCCAGGCCAAGCTCCTATTTCAGCCTCGTTTTTTGCCTGGAGTCTGGCCGGTCGCCCTGGGCCCGCGGCGCTGTCCGAGGTGCTGATCCTTTGCGCGCCGCTGAGGGGCTGGAGGCGGGCAGCACGGGGGCGGGGCGGGGGGGCGGCGAGAACTGGCTGATTCACGGGCTTTAAGCCCCTCCGAGACCCCAAACCTCGCCCCCCCCGCCCCCACCCCGCCCAACCAGCCCAACTGTAGCCTATCAGGGAGGCGCAGGGAAGGGGGCGGGACAAGGAAACGGGAAACCCCTCCTTTGGTTGGTTCTTGGGGCCCCACCCCTCAGCGGCCCCGCCCAGCGGCCTGTGGAGAAAAGGGCCCAGACAAAGGCTCCAGGGCGGCCCTGCCTCCGGAGGGGCGGAGGGAAGGGCCTCTGGCTTCTCGCCCCCGTTGTGGGGGGTCGGGTACCCCGAACATCCTGATGTAATAAATGCAAACTCCTGCCTCGTTCCGGGAGCGCGGCTTCCTCACCCTTGGGGAAGGGCCACACCCTGTCACCGCCCCCTGGAGGGGATTCGAGTAAAACTGACACGGAGCCCAGCATGTAGTAGTCCCAGTCAGGAGTAATGATGCCCCATCACTACCTCAGGGGAGGCAGAGCCCCCAGTCCCGGATCGCCCCGAATTCCCTCCATCCCCCCACTCCCTCCCCAGAGCCAGCAGCCTGATCCAGACTCCACTCAGGACGGTAGGCAGGAAAGGAGCCCCCAGGCCACCCCAGTCAGCAGCTGCCGGTGGTGGGCAGATGGGAGGACCTGGGGGAAGTGGGAGACCGGGGAGAAGTGGGGGACCTGGGAGAAGTGGGGAACCGGGGGGATCGGGGGTACGGGGAGCGGGGGCTCTAAGCACTTTCTCCAGGGTTGGTCTCTGTAGACTTTCTAGGCAGGGAGGCGGCAGACCGAAAAGGAAGTAACAATTCCTCTCCCGCAAATGCACTTCTCTCTTGTTCGATGTGTTTAAAATGATCAGATATTAAATTTAAAACTAACACAAATGTAAAAATCAATGCGAAAGGAATGAAAAGTCATGAGCAAACGCTGTCTGCAGAGGACACTGTCGCCAGCAGCCGGCAGGTGCACCCCACCTTCCCCAGAGAGGAGGCTGTCCTGGCTGTGGAGGGAGGGGCATGGACCCCTCCCCCGCCCCCAGGCCCGGCAGGACTCAGGGCCGCTCCCCCCGCCCCCGTGACCCCTGACCCCCTGAGGAGCAGATGTTCAGAGCGGGCCTGGACCTTGTGACTGCGTTAAGGAGCCCCCGCCCCTCCCACCCGGTCCGGCAGCTGTCAAGACGGCCCCTGGAGCTCGGATTTGATTGGAGGCCGCCATCCCCTCGGCCTCTCCTCCCCTAGCCCCGCCCCGGGCAGCACAGCTGTCTCCTCCGTGATTGGGAGTCTCGGATTCCGCCTCCGGACCCCATCCCAGGGCCTCCACCCTAGAGCCCAAGTTGCAATTTACATGTCAACCACGTGGGTGCCCAGCCCTGTAGAAATTAGCTTTTTGTTCTCGCCGTTCCCATGGCAACAGCCTCCAGAGGAAGCTTTTCCTGGGCCCCTTTCCCACCAAGACCTGCCTCCAACCCCCGCCTCCTTGGGGAATCCGCTCGACGACTTCCCCCGCTGGGTCCCTGGCCGTGGTCCTGACTAAGCCACGCTCCTCCCGCTCATGGTCCTGGGACCCGGGCGGGCATCGGGCTGCGCTCGCCGCCTGGGCGCCGCCCTGGGCCCCGCAGGGACTGAGCCGGGGGCGGCGCGGCTGGGTCTCGCCCAGGCGGGGTGACCTTGGGCCCGGGACGGCCTCCCGGGCTCGGGGACCTGACATCGCCTCCTGGGTGCTGCCATCCTCTCCCGCCTCAGTCCCCACATCGGAGAGGTGGGCTCACAATGGACGGGCCGGGCCGCGCGGCGCGGAGCTCCCCACGCCCGGAGGCCGGCTTTGTTCCCACGTCCAACCCCCAGACGCGGCGGTGCCATCCCTCGGGGGTCGCCCCGGTGGGCTGAGCTGAGGGAGGGGCTGGTCCTGGACCAAGGTCATCACGAGTCGGGGCCCAACCCTCACCCAACAAAGAACAGGGTGGGGCCGGGCAGCCGAGGGTGATCGCAGCCAGATCGGGGGCACCCGGCGGCTCCAGCTGCTCGGAGGACCGCGCGTTCCGGGGGCGGGGGCGTCAGGACCTGGAAGGTGAGCCTCTCTCGTACCAGCCCACCCGCCGTCCAGCCCGGGCTGAGCGGCGACCCCCGTGAGGGCCACGCCCAGCTGCCTCCGCGGGGCCGGGGTGGAGGGCGCGAGGCGGCGATGGCGCTGCGCTCAGCGAGGCCCTGGTGCCGCTGGGGTCCGGGAGCGCGCGGGGGCGTCAGGGCGGCCCGGCACTTTGTTCTCGGTTTTCAGGGGCGACTGCGGCTAGAGGTAAGCGGTGCTCCCCGCTTCCCTCCCAGGGGCTCCCCGCTTCCCTCCCAGGGGCTGGCTCGGAAGGGGACGCAGCAGGCGCGCGGGGCGGGGCGGCCTCACCTTGGCCCCGATCTGGTTGCCGCACTGGCCGGCCTGGATGTGCACGATCTCCCTCATGGCGGCGGCAGGCGACTGCGGGAAGCTGACGGGCCGGGCGGCTCGCCCGCCGCTCTTATAGGCCCGGCCCCGCCCGCCGCGCCCTCGGCGTCACCGCGCGGCCAATGGGGGCGCCGCCGCCGCTGCGGCACGGCCGCCGCCGCATCTGCACCGACTCCGCGCGGCTGGCGCGGGGCTGGGGACCCGCTCACCCGAAAGGAGGGGCTGGCGGGCTCCAGGGAGGACAATAGAAGGCGCTGGATCCTTGGACCCCGCCCCGCTCCCCCTCCGATCCACGGCTTTGCTAGGAGGGTCTCACCTCCCCACACCCGCTTAGGGACCGACCCCTCTTCCCACCCCAATGGGTGAGGTGGACGCCTCCCCGCTCCTGTCTGTGCACGAGGGGCCGACAAGGTACTCTGAGCTCTTCTGGACCCCGTAGGGGCTGGGATGGGGAGGGGTGGTGGGGGGCAGGTAAAGGCCCAACAGCCAGCGCAGGGCTGAGAAATCCGGAGTCGGAGTGGCTGTGGGTGCGGGAGGGCTGCGGCGGCGGCGGCGGCGGCGGCGGCTGTGGCTGTGAGTTTCGCTGACCCCCTCTGCAGTGGGGGAGCCACCCCCTCCTCCCCCGCTGCTGCCGCAGATTACACACGGGCCTTGCTGTGTGCGCCCCTCCCCCCACCCCCCGCAGGTAGCACTGCTCAGGGAATATTGTGCCGGGAACTGTCATGAGGACACACTAGGCGAGGGGCCGACAGAGTGGGGGTGTGCAGTCCTTTCTTACTCCCTGATGTCACCTGTGGGTCTGGACCCTTGGTCCACGTGGGGCCAAGGCAGTGGGGGGAGGGGCGCGTGTAGGAGCTGTGTGTGCACCAGGTGCAGGTTCCTGCGGGGAAAACTGGGGAAGGGGCCCCTCCCCTGAACACAGACACCTTCACACAACACACACAGACCCACGGCTTCCTGTTCTTCGGGGCTCAGACACCACGTGAAGACGCCTTAGAACAGGTCCTTCTGATGTTTCAGGGACAAATCCTCCAGGAGGGCACCCAGTCGGCTGAGCGAGCTTGTGGGCACACCTGTGTCCCGAGTGTGTGCCAGGGGGCCCTAGCGGGGTGTGGCCATGCCCAGGCCCCTCTCTCCGCCCTCCCGATGCTCCCTAGTTTGGCAAGCCTAGAAGTGGGTCTTTTGTTCTTAAGAGAAGCCCCTCCCCCACAGTGTCCATGAGGTGGCTTCCTGTGGTTGGCTTCTGGCCACTGGGGCTCCGCCCTGCCCCATTCAGGGGGTCCTTGGTGAGCATTTGGCTCTTCCTTGGAGCCAGCTGTGCCTCCCTGTCTGAGCAGCAGAAGCTTTGCAGCATCCCGTAGGCCAGGACCCGTCACCGGCTGGCCTCCCTGTGGAATGGCATCGGACCAGGCTGGCTCCCCCCTCCATCCCCAGAGGGCTCAAGGCTGACTCACCATCCTGTCCATTTTCCAGCAAAGGCTGGGCCTGCCGGGAACCAGTTCCCAGCACCAAGGCCAACAGTCAGGGCTGGAGCTGCCAGCACGGGTGAGGTGGGGACTGGTCAGGCGGCTGCAGACACATCTAGAACTACCTGGGAGTTGGCTGATGCCATCACTTTCACCTCCATTGAGCCTGTACCAGGAATAGGGCTGACTGCATGCTCAGCATCTGGAGGAACCAGTGGCTCCCCAGAAAGAGGCCCAGGGTTTTAGCACAGGGAGGACCCAAGGGCCCTCAACACCGTGTAGCAAGGGCCACCCCAGATACCAATCCCAGGGACACCGCCCGCAACCACTGGACAGCCCCGCCCCATTCTGGGCGGCCTTGCCTCAAATATCTGCCAGGGCTGGAAGTGCTGGAGGAACGAGAACCCCAGTCCTGATCCACCCTGCACCTTGGACCCCCTGGGGTGACCCAGAGCAGGTGAGGCCTGCTGTGCTCTGAACAAGGTCACAGTGGGTCACAGAGGTCCTGCTTCTGCTACAGCGGAGGGCAGCCTGGACCATTCAGCATCCTCTCCATGGAGGTGCCCGGGGGCAGGACTCCGCCCTCCAGCTGCCTGGGACCAGGTTCGCAGACACGGATAAGGCAGACACAGCATCAGAGCAGGTGCAACTGGGCTGGGGCTTCAGGCATGCTGGGTCCTCCGGGGGTTCTGGAATATTCCCCTCCCCCTTCATCACTCCCACCAGGCCCCTCCACGGTTCCTCCACCCTCAAGCTTCAAGCGCCTTTGGAATGAGCCAGTGTAGATGGCAATGGAGCTGCTCCAAGCACACCATTTATTCCCAGACGCTTCCCGGCCCTGTGACCCTGGGTGCTGGTCACTGATTCGAACTAATGGCTGTGCCTCGGCCTGAGCAGGCAGTGGCAGGCACTATCTGAGGGGCATGTGTGGTGCAAACAAAAGGGCCGAGCCCCCAGCTCTCCAGCACCATGAGCCCGAGAAGAGATCAGCCCCATGCCCACTATGGCTCCTGCGGATTCGTCTCTCTGCCAGGGACAGGACCTCACTCCTTCCCTGTGAGGCTGGGTCCTGCTCATTACAGTCCCTTCTCCTGAGGTCCTCATCGAGAGAGCGGCGCTCTGCCAGCCCGCAGACTTCACCTCCCCATGGGCGGGGGCACAGTGGGTCCTCGCCTATCTCTGGGTGCAGGTGGATGTCTCCCCGAGTGGGCTGTGTCTGTCCAGGAGCCCAGGCCTGCCCTGTGCCTGTGGCCCCATCTCCCCAGCCTCCTGCATCCCCCACAACTCCTGGAGATTTTCTGCTGATGCCTCTCTGGCCCAGAGGGTCCGTGCGCCCACACCTTCGGAGATCATCTAGTCCGTCCTTTCTGGCAAGTGACTGCCAGCCCCTCTGCCCAGCACCTGGCCTGAGCCCTCGGGCACCTCCCTCACCAGGAGCACTGCAGCACCTCTTGGAGCGTCTTCCGGAGCTCTGGGCTTCGGAAAGCATAGATGAGCGGGTCCACGATGGTGTTGCAGATGATAAGGGCCAGGAAGAGGTTGAAGTTCCTGAAGATGCAGTGGCAGGTGGGGTGTTGAGGACAGAGGACGATGAGCAAGAGGTGCAGGAAGAAGGGGCCCCAGCAGAGGAAGAAGATGCCCAGCAGGGTGGTGAGAGTGGCAGCCCCTTTGAGGCCGAAGCCCTGGGGGGCAGGGCGCTGCCTCTTGTGCAGCCGGGCGATGCCACGGGTGTGCTGGCACGCCTGCACCAGCATGCGGACGTACAGCACCGCCATGAGCGCCAGCAGGGCCACAAAGAAGCTGACCAGACAGAGCAGGACGGCCGTGTGGTCGTAGTAGGCGATGAAGAGGGTGCTGGAGACGACGCTGGCCACCCAGATGCCCGCGATGGCCCGCCACACCCGGGGCAGCGTCACGATGCTGTGGTAGCGCAGCGCATAGAAGATGGAGATGTACCGGTCCACGGCGATGGCGGCCAGGAAGCAGAGGCTGGACACCATGGAGCCACAGATGAACACGTCCAGGATGTCATCCAGCTGCTGCACCGTGGTGGCCTGGGCCGCCAGCGCGCCCGCCTCCAGCAGCAGCACAACGGCTGTGCCCAGCACGTTGCTCACGCTCACCAGCAGGTCCGATACGGCCAGGCAGCAGATGAAGAAGTACATGGGCGAGTGCAGGTTGCGGTTCTTGGCGATGGCGGCCACCACCAGCACGTTCTCCACCAGGCTCACCAGCCCCAGGCTGAGGAAGAGCCCGTTGGGAATGGACACCTCCAGGCACCAGGTGCCCGTCTGGTTGGGGGCCAGCTCGAGGTGGGGGGTGGCTGGGGAGGTGGAGTTGAAGATGCCCAGCAGCCTCCTCTGGGGGCCCTGTGCCAGCATAGTCCCCCCGGGAAGCAGGAAGGGGCCTCCCGCGACGGGCATCTGCTCAGCTCATGGTGTCCCCAGTGGGGCCCTGTGCACCCCCGGGGCCCTCTCACACTCACCCTCTCCCTGGCTGGCAGATGCTAGCCCAGGTGCCCCCGCTTCTCGACCAATCTGGTCACTTCCCAGCCAGGACCCCAAGCTCCGCAGCACCAACCCTCTGGCCCTCGGTCCACTCCCCACCTCTCCCTTGGGGTGTGGTCGCTCAGGCCCTCACATTTCTATGCCTCCTGCCTCCCAGGCCAGGCAGGACTGCGGTCCAGGAAGAATGGAGCCTTTCTCTACATGCTTCACATCGTCCGCTCAGCCCCTCCTCCTGAGGGGTGCCACATGATGGGCGTGTGCCCGGGGATTCATCAGAGAGCACCCTGGGCACCCCTGCTGCCACCAGGCGGCGTACCTGGCACCCAGGGCCGTCCGGCTTCCCAGGCTCCAACTCCGGGCACAGCCGACATTCCCCTTCCTGCTCACAGCCACTGCGGCATCACCAGTGTTCTGCCAGCCAGCTCCCAGTCAGGCCTCGGCTCCAGGCGCCTGTGTGGGGTGTCCTCTCGACCTGCCAGAGAGGCAAACACCACTTCCTGGAAGCCTCCGGTTCTGAGGCCAGCCCATGCTGTCTGCCCGGAAGCGTCTTTGGCCTTTGGCCGTCCACCCCCACTCCGTTAGATGTTCACTGAGGGCAGCTCATCCCCAGGCCCCCCAGGCCCTTTGCTGAGTGCTGCCCGAGGGCAGCCTGGCCCATGGGCTGGAAGATATGCTGTGTCATCCTGGGGGGGGGGGGCCCTCGGACAGAGCTGCCGGGAGCCCCATTGCTCTGGGGAAGGATGCCACAGGCTCCAAGCCAGGAGCCACTTCCAGACAAACCTCATTCTCCAGCCACGGGGCCGCTGTGGGAACACGGGCCCAGAGTGCCCGTGGGCACCGTGCTGGCCTTATGCCACCCCAGCACTTCCTCACTGAAGATGGCACCTGTGACCACAAACCCTGCTCTGGAGGCCGAGGCAGAAGGGGAAGGGGACAGTGAGGCAACCAGAAAGATAAGTGGCTGGCGGCGGAGATGGGGCCGGGAGGGAGTTGGGGAGGTCTGTGTTTTTTCTTTTTTTAATTGATTTTTAGAGAGGAAGGAAGAGAAAGAAACATCAATTTGTTGTTTCACTTATTTAGGCATTCACTGGTTGCTTTTTAAAATTTTTATTTTTATTGTTGAAAGCATTACAGATACTGGGTGATTCTTGTACGTGCCCTGACCAGGGGATTGAACCCACAACCTTGGCGTATGGGGATGATGCTCTAACCAACTGAGATACCTGGCCGAGCAGGTCTGTGTTTTGAGTTGTATCTATGATATTCCTGCTCATTCCTTCCCGTCCACTGGCTGCCAGATGGCTTGACGGGCCCATATGAGCACACACTGATGTCCACTTATCGACATTAATCACTCCTTCCAGCACACAACTTATGGTACAGAGCTCTCCCCACCTTTTTTGAAGCACGTCACAGGTACAGCACACACCTTATAAATACGCAGGGTGGCAGACGCCCTGAGCCAGGTTTGTGCCTCCTCAGCGTGGAGACGCCCCAACCACACTGGTCATCGGGGCAGCTCCCAACACATCACAGTGCCGCTGGGCGCTCCTGCCCCGTGTCTGGTGACCAGTCAGGTGTCCCTCTGGGTGACACAAGAATTCCGTGGCCGAGGCAGATCTCCGCTTTGGTAGACTCAGCCAAACAACTTTCCAAAAGGGGACCAGGTGCGTTTCTGGAGGTTGCAGCCCCCACTTCCCAGGTGTGGATGGAATGACAGGCCTCTCCAAGCTCCACAGGCAGCAGCACAGGACGGGCCCCACTGCACACCCCCTCCCACCCTTTGGTGGAGGACCCCAGAGGGCCCCAGGATAGGAACATGAGGCTGTGCTGTGGCAGGAAGGTGGTCTCAGCAGCTGTGAGGGTCCACGGTCCCTGCCACACCTCCCAGGGGTTCACTGCAGCTCCACGTCCCCAAGAGCTGCCTTCTAGCCCTGGGCACTGATGGTGCCTGCTGGGTGAGCAGGGCCCTGCCCACCACATTTCAGGGATGCTATCATATCCGGCTCTATAAATGAGGCCTTTGAGGTGGCCAGTGCCCCCACCCCAGCCTGAGACTTCAAAGGGCATGAGACTTGGCAGCTGTTGGCAGGTGACCACAGCCTTCTTTCCGGGAGGCCTCAGGACCCCATTGGTTCTAATTGCACTCGCCTGTTGGGGACTCTGTGGGAGGGAGACAGCAGATACAGCTGAGTTGGGAAAAATCAACTTTGTGATTAGTTACAGTCATGGGGGAAATGTCTACGGAAATCACAGATAATCCCGAGGCCATTTGAATCACTCGCTCTCTGGTGCCCCTGGGAGATGGCGTGAGGAATGGCAATGGACACAAGAGCGCATCCCACCACGAGACAACGAGCCTGACTCACACGTGAGGAGGCTGTGAGAACAGGAAGTCCCTCAGTCTTGTTACTGTTGTCTCCCCAGCACCAAGAGGCACACAGTGGGCACGCAACATGTGAGCATTCAGTATGCGAATGAGCTCTACAAGGAAACGGGGGCACGGACAGCTCAATGAAGGGGTGCATGTGTCCAGCCACGCCACGCCAGTGGGGTAGGGTCACAGCCGTGCAGCGTGCAGCCTGCCTCGTGGCTCTCTGCACAGTGGGATGTCAGGAAGGGCTGGCCCAGAGCTGGGTCAGTGTCTTGGTTCAAAGGTGGTCTGGTTTCCCTTGAACTTGGGGAGGTCAGGGCCGGGAGGGTGCCCTGCAGACAGGATGCTTCCAGCTTACAACTTCAGTGCCCTGGATCCTCAGCAGCCTGGTGTGGTTCTCAGCTGCCAACCTGCCAACAAGCCTGCCTCCATGTTCTGGTCATGCTGCAGATCAAATGCCCCCAATCTCTGCCGTCCATTCCTGAGCCATCGTCTCGCAGGTTCCCCTGACTCAGTGTTTTCCAATAAAAAACATTATGTCGGACTGGAAAGACCCGCCTGTGTGCCCAGCCCGGGGACCTGGTGCCTGCCCTCCCGCCCTGGACCTGCCCCAGGGCCGACAGAAGCACACAGGGCCCCTGCCTCACGCTGGGCACTGACCCAGCTTGGGAAAGAGCTCACATGCGCAGGCATAACGTTCACGTGTACAGGAGAGACAGGGAGGCAGACGGACATGGCATTTTTACTTCAGGGAGCTGGTCAATTCTGACCAGACAAATCAGGAACATAATTGTACAGTGTGGGCGTGGCAGCTGTGCGCTCAGTCCCACTCCCCGTCCCCCTCGGCGTGGTCCTCATGCGGAGCCTCTGGGTCATGGAAGTGAAAGGTGGCCATCATGTCTCGCACAGCCAGCATCAGCCTGTTCAAGCCCTGGTTGTGGTCCAGGCCCTCGGCCCCTCCGTCCTCTTGCCTCTCCCCCTGTGGCAATGAGACCCATCTGAGCAGGGCTTTCTGGGCCCCAGCACGCCCACGGAGCTCACTCAGGGCCTGTCGAGGCAGCAGCTCCTGGAAGCCATATACATGCGTCTACCTAACAAGGCCAGGCCACCAGAGTGGGATCCAGCAGCCCCGCTGACTGAGGGGTGTTCTGTCCCATCGGCAGCCACGCCAGCTTCCTAGGCAGACTGGGTGCCCCTGCTGCTGGCAGTGCTGGCTCTGGACAGTCACACCTGAAGGGACCTGTTGACCCGGTGGCCAGCAGAGGCCAGGTGAGCTCACCTACCTCCATGGTGTAACTGGGCAGAAGTGACCGAAAGAAGAGGGCGATTGTGTTTCCATGGCTGACAGGGCTCAGCCTGAAAGAGAAAGAACAGTGAGGAAACGAAGCAGAGACAGAAAGGCAGCAGCTGAAGACGGGGCTGAGCTGGGGCCTGGAGCCCCAGGGGCAGGCAGCCACAACTCAGTCAGCTCAGGGGGTGCTGCCGGCACCCAGAGCCACGGGGAGACTGTTTCAGAGCCAGGGGCTGGCCCTTTACAGCCTGGCTTCTTGAACCAAGTGGAAAGCATAGCCCACCATAGCCAGGTGCCTTGCTTATAAGCGAAGATTTGGTTGCAAAGTGTTCTTCAGCACTCAAGCGAAGGAGTCTAGGAAACTGGTCATAGAGAGATCCGGCCCTGGCCAGGGTGGCTCAGTTGGCTGGGTGTTGTCTTGTGCACTAAACGGTTGCCAGTTTGATTCCCAGTCAGGACACATGACCAGATAGCAGCAGGCTCCATTCCTAGTGGGGTGCGTGGAGGAGGCAGGTGACTGATGTTTCATTTCACATTGATGTTTCTAACAATTTAAAAAAAAAAAAGGCGGCCCTAGCCGGTTTGACTCAGTGGATAGAGCATCAGCCTGTGGCCTGAAGGGGTCCTGGGTTTGATTCTGGTCAAGGGCACATGCCTGGGTTGCAGACTCGATCCCCAGTACGGGTGTGCAGGAGGTAGCTGACCAACGATTCTCTCATCACTGATGTTTCTCTTTCTCTCTCCCACCTCCCTTCCTCTCTGAAATAAGTAAAAATACTCTATCTTTAAAAAAAAAAAGCGATTCCAGGGCAAGTGTTAAGGGAAGGCCCCTCCTGGTGAAATGAGGTGCTGCGACCCAGCTCTAGGAGACACTGAGGTGCTGCTCGGCAGTGACCTTAATTTGCTCTGAAAGCTCCGGGTCTCACGGCTGGGGGTGGGGGCAATGCTAAGTCACTGAAGCCCTACAGCCACTCCTCAGTGCTAAGAGTCCGGCCTGCGCCTGTGACACTGGCAATAATTTCCACTGGAGCAGCTTACTGGGAACTGTTACCTAGGAATAAGCAATCCAACTCTTATACTTTGGTGAGGAAAGAAGGATTTCTACAAAACGTGCTCTTTTGAGATCTGAAAGCTCATGCTCCCTTAAGTGGGACCATTTGTTGGTGCCTCTTCCAGATCTAGGACATGGTGAGGGCTCTGGGCAAGGCAATTCCTCAGCTTTAAAGGCCAGAAAGAGAAAGGGAGCCGTCAACACACACCCAGCAGCTGTGGACGTGGCCCTGCTTCTCCTGGCCACGCTACCTTCGGATGTCACCTCTTTACCTGGCTAGGGCACCCCAAATCTCAGTGTACCCTCCACTCTCAGCAGTTCCTGGTGGCAGTTTCCAGATTCTATACCTGACGTGTTTCCCCCACTGCACTGGACATGCCTCCAGGGCAGAGGTGTCCTTACTGCTTCCCACTGTATGTGCAGCACCTGCCACAGAACCTGACAGAGCGATGCTCCTAGTCAGACAAAGACAGGGAAAGCACCCACGCCTGGAAACGCTGACCCACGACCCCAAATCACTCGGCTCTGAGAGCCTGTGTCTGGAGGAGGCAGCAAGTCCCCGGCCCGAAGCACTGATCTGAGAGCCAGAATGCAAAGGCACCAGGAGCGGTGGACAGGTACCTTTCTGGCCTGGTGTAGGAGTAGATGGTATCTGAGGGAGGCAGAGGGTCAAAGCCCATCACAGACTGTGTGGTCACATCCTGCAGAATGAGACAGAGAACGGAGATGCAGCCGAGCCCTGTGCTGTGCCTCTGCTCCACCCTCCGCAGCCTGTCAGCAGATTCTGGTCTGGGTCGGGCCTTTCTGCTGGAGTGGCCCCCGCGGCCAAGCTGTGTTTACTGTGCCCCAGGCTTTGGGTGAGGGTGGGACACACCATCACCATCACACAACGCCGCAATCTCTGCCCAGGGTGTCAGCAGCTCAGAGCAGTAGACTACAGGTTGCGAGGCCCTGAGGGGAGGGGCCAGCTCCCCCAGCTCCCCCAGCTCCCACGGCAGCCGCGCTCCTTACCGGGGGCAGGGCAGCAACAGCTTCTTTGATCTCAGAGAGGACCACGTGACGGTGGATATTTCTGGGCGCACGCTGGTAGAGCACCTTCCGCCTGGGCCCAGGGAGAAAAAGGACAGTCATGGAATGGAGCCCTCCTCAAACCCACATTCATGATCGAGATTCCCGAGTAGAGCGCACTCACTTTTCTCCTGTGGACCTATCAGGCCAAAAGCTGTCCAGCTGCCCCAGCCCCAGTCTCACCTGTTCTCACACTCTTCCACGGCGGGGTCCCCAGCATCCACTGCCTGTAGGACCTCACGGACATTCTCCTCCAGCCAACTCATGATGGCAGGCTCCTTCCAGAGGAAGTGGGACCGCCCGAGGTACAGGCTCACCAGCTGGCTCAGCGCAGGGGGCTGGCTGCGGGAAGGCAGGGCCTGTAAGCATATCCCCCCACCCAGGTCCAGGCCTCCAGGTGCCTGCTGGCACATGCTGGGAACAGCCAGGGTGTGCCCAAAGCCTGAAGTGAGCGGAGGCTGCCCAGAGGGCTGCCAACCTGGGATATGCCACTGCCCAGAGGTGGGGCGCAGGTGCTCACTTCTGAACATCGCACGTGATCATTACCAAGTATGAGTTCCTTAACAGGAACGAAAAATACAAAAAGAACATAGGGCACCCATGCCCTGCCCCCCCCACATCAGGAAACCTTGTGCTTTGGGCTGCAGGTTGCTCACACCCCGCCAGCTCCATGTCCAACAGGCCAGGCCCCCGCAGACATGCAGACAGCCTGTACTATGCACATGTCACATCTGTGCCCCTTGGGGGGGTCTTCCAGTCTTTACCTTATTTCGGAATTGGGTCCAAAGAAGGGGTGACAGGCGACGGCGGCATCCGGCCGAACGCTGCAGCACTCGAGCAAGGGCATTAGAACTGCGGGAGGAGGCAGAGGCCTGATGGGTTACTCACGCACAAGGAGCCAACTCTGAAGGAGGGTCCTCAGTCCTGCTGTTTCCCAGGGGCCCCGTCTGCATCTAAGGGGACCCACCTGTGATCCCCAAGCATGGATGCCAGATGTTCTCATCCTAAAGACCACACACCCCACCCTCAGCAGCACCCTCACAAGGGAGAACCCCGTCTTCCCAGTGACTCCCCAGGAATGGGCTAAAGTAGCATCAAGCTCCGTTCTGACACAGAAGCAGCTTCACAGAAGGACACGGACCTCTGTAGCCCAGTGAGCAGGGGCACCGCTGGCAGTTCTGTGGTGCAGGGCTCCAGACCCGACCAGAACCCCCTGCTGTGTGTCAACAGCCCCAGGCAGGGGGCCTGGCTGCAGACCACCCTCCTCCACACTAAGAGCCACAGCTCCAGCAGATGGATGGGAGGGTCGGTTCCCTGAGTCTGCTGGGCAGCCAGTATTCAGAACGGCCAGGCTAAGGTGTGCGTGCAGGGCTGGGGTGGCTGAGGGTGCAGTGTGCTGGGAGCCTGAGCGGCTTGGCCTCCTCCCACCCCAGAGCCCCATCTCCCCTCTGGCACCACCTCACACACCATCCCACTGTCTGTCTCCCTGCCCTGGAACATCAGCCCCAGAGGCGGGAATCCTGGCTGCTGCCTCCTTGTAAAGCTGCATGTGGCGTAAGGACGCGGGTCCGGGGGGAGGGGTACAGCAGCGCGCTCCTTTCCCAGGCCACACTCCCTTTCAGGATGTATGGGAAGCTGCTGACTGCACCCAGGGGCGAGCCCGCAGACCTCTGCACATGACGCCCATGGGGAGCTTGTCCGGGAGGCCCCAGGATGATCTGTCTCAGTCCCTCACACTGGTGAGCAGCTTTGCAGACAAGAAAGCACAGCCCGGCTGGCTGGCTGCCCCTCCCGTCCCCACTTCCCCAGTCCAGGCGCTCACTTCCTGCCCCTCAGAAAATGCCACCCTCCTTCCGAAGGTAACTTCTCAAACTACCCACGTCAAAAGACACCCTAACCCCCAACCCCTCAGACTCAGCTTCACTGCCACGGGCAGGCCTGGCCGCACCCACCTCCAGGGAACATGATGAGGGCCTGTCGCACCAAGAGAGAGGCCTTTTCCCTCGCGGAGCTGAGCTCCTGTTCTGGGAGGTCTGCCTGCTGACTCAGCAGGAAATACGCCAACGGCACGGAGAAGGCGAAGTTTGGGAGCTGGGACAGGTTCCGATGAGCCTGCGAGGTGAAGGGCAGGGCAGCGTTCTCAGGGAGCACCATGTGCAGCGACAGCCGCACCCGGGGTTTCCCTTCGCAGAAGCGACAGACGTGGTTCCCCTTCTCCCGAGCCCCGCACTGCTCTCTTCTGCACACGAGCACCTGAGCTCAGGTTCCACTTATAAACCAGGCAGAGTGGTGAATAGCAGTGAAACAGAACGGTCGTTTGAAGTACGACAGCAAAAATAACGTGACTTTTTTCTTTCACAATTTCACGAAGAGTCGATTCCTTCCAGCCACAGATCTTAGCAACCTCAGTATATGACCTGCATCAGGAGGCTTGTGGTTTGAGGCCGTGATGAAGTGAAAGCGGGCGACCTGAGCACAAGCACTGTGACACCCCCACAGTCGACCTGGTAGCCAAGAAGGCTCCTCAGCGCTCCTATCCTCTGACACCGCGCAGAGCAGGCGGGGTCTCCCGGGACCTTCGCCACGGTGTCCTCAGCGTCCCTGGAGGACAGGACTGTGCAGGCCGTTGGCACGCCCCCACCTACCTCCCACTCCTGGAACAGGCGGATCAGGTACTCGTAGTCGCGTGCCCGCAGGGCCAGGTGGTCGACCAGCAGCAGCATGCACAGGGGGTCCTCGTCGGGCTCCAGGCTTCCGGAGGCGGCACGCGAGCAGGGAGGCAGAGGGAGAGAAAACCCAGAGTGGGCCCCTGTGTGTCGCGGGCCTGCGGCCCCCGAGCATGCAGCCCAGCCGGACACTCACCTCAGGATGAGCTTGCAGTACTCCAGCGCCGTGCGCGGGCAGCCCCGCTTTTCCAGGAAGCTCATCTGCTTGTAGAGGGCCAGGTAGAAGCTCCTAGACCCAAGACAGTTCCTCGTGAGCCAGAGCGACAGCAGGTGGAAAGGCCACGTCGCCCAGGATCCTCATCCAGCACGGCCCCTCGCGCCTGCCGCATCGTTGCGTTTCCTGTGTGGCCTAATCACTGTGAATGTTCGAGAGTGTTCCTGTGTCTGCAGAGAAGGTGACGCTCTGCTTGCTGTTTGAGTTTCATGTGCAACCATTACATAAAACCAAGCTTCTTAGTTCAAACCTTTATCTTGGGGTTTTTTTTTTTTCACCCCAACACCCACGGGAAGGTTGTCTGTGAGGCCCCAGGACAATCTTATGTCTCAGTCCCTAAAATTGGTGAAAAGCAGGATTGCAGTTATTACTTATGGGAAGAGAGTTAAAATCTGTCATTACAACCTTCATTTTTCCTCACATTTCCACAGTCAAAGTAGCTCTGATGTTGATGCACCACGTCTGTGACTGCAATGATCCCAGCAGGCCATTATTTTTATCAACACCTACTGCCTGGGTAACGCCTGGAATGTGAGTATCTTATAGCCTGTCTTAAAGAACTAGGAATTTAACTGGAGCAGCCAGGCTGACAAACACAAGCAGTGGAGGAAGCTCAGATGCAGTCCCCAGTGCAGACGGTGCAGTGGGTCAGCATGCCTGGGACTCAGGACAGCCTCCAGGGCGAGGGAATGCCCCAGGACAGAGGGCATGCCCACCCCACCAGGGCCCTGAAGACCAGGATGAGGGCAGCGGGGAGGCTGTTGTGGCCATCAGGGCCTGAGCAGGGGCGGAAGTTCAGGATGGCAGAAGTCTCTGTAAGACAAGAGGGCCCATGCACACAACTGCTCACTGCAGAGCAACAGGGTCTGGCTGAATTCCAGCTACTCACTCCAGAACCACACACCCCCGCGTACAGGGCATTGCAGAGCTTCCTAAACTCTTGGGCACGGATCCTTTTGTCCAAAGATACAAGGAAACACGATGACAGACCCCATCACGGCGAAGTGGCTTAGCAGGCTCACTTCTAACACAAACACATGTTACCCCAGCCCTCTTGCATTCAAGCTTTAAACCCAGTGAGATGCCTGGCTTAAGCCACCTGGTGGGACCCCTTGTGGACAGCTCACGCCACCTGCTCCCACTCCCTTGCCTGGGTCTCATGTCACCTGTGAAAGCTCCAACACACAAGAAAAAGAGCAGTGAGTGCAAGCAAAGCCCTTCGGGGAGGCCGGCTCACCTGTTCTCAGGTCTGCGGTAGTCCAGCCGGCAGGTCCCACTGGTGAGGCTGAACAGGGGGTGGAAGGCACACTCCATGCTGTACAGCGCTCTCTCTGTGGGGCACACAAACACCAGGGGAGGGCATCACAGCCACTGTGTGGCAGCTGCAACCCCGTCCTCTGTGGCTCACAACAAGGAAAGCTCTGGAAGGAGTCAGGTCACTAGGATTTAGGGGAAGTGACTGCACCAACGTGACCCTAGGGATCACCAAGCTGGCAACACCAATTCCAGACAAAAAAATGCAAACGCACGTCCTCACAAAACTCACACACAGGCCCAGCAGCTCACTCACGAGGGCCACAGTGTGGGGACAACCCAGGGTGTCACATGCTGGTGGGCACACCAACGGGGCCCATTACCCACTGGAACATCACCCAGCCTGAGAGACACTGCGGTGTATGAAGAAGCCAGACAGACATGAGCAGAAACGTCAACAGGCAAATCCAGAGGCAAAAAGCAGACTGGTGGTTACCAGGGGCTGGGGACTGGGAGGTGACTGAAGAGCTGAGGTTTCTTTTTAAGTAACAAAAATGGTCTAGGACAGGGGTCCTCAAACTTTTTAAACAGGGGGCCAGTTCACTGTCCCTCAGACCGCTGGAGGGCCGGACTATAGTTTAAAAAAAAAAACTATGAACAAATTCCTGTGCACACTGCACATATCTTATTTTGAAGTAAAAAACAAAATGGGAACAAATACAATATTTGTATTTGCATGTGGCCCGCGGGCCGTAGTTTGAGGACCCCCGGTCTAGGATCTACGAGGCTGTACAACTCCAACGCTTTTAACAATATCCTGGGAAACCCATTTGTACCCCAGTTACTTTATCGAATGGCATCTATGCCGCAGCCTCTGAGACACTCGTGGGAGGGGACGTGGGCGCTGCAGCAGGGCCAGTGCGAGCAGCTCTTACCCACGAGGTCTCGCGCCATCTCCTGATCATCCTGGAATCGGCAGGCGTCGCTGAGCTGCAGCAGTGAGTCGACGTGATATGGGCTCGTCTGCAGCAGAACCTTCGAGGCAAGAAGGGAAGCTTATGTGGCTACGGTCGGGGCCTCCAGGGACAACATAGGAGGCACCAGCCCCCGGGCACTTGTTTCTTTCAGGCATCTAAGCCTCAGGGAAAGTATCACTGGGTGAGTCACGACATCCTCCAGCCCAAACAGTGTTCAACACGGTGTTCAAAACTCTGTGCCCACGTGTCTCCACCTTCACCCTCCCCCAGCCGGGTCCCCACACTGGAGGGGAGAAGCAAGCCCCAGCAGCAGCGCCCTGAGCACGGCTCCCGGGACCCAGTCCTGCTGTGGGACTCACGCACCACGATGTTATTGGGCTCCATCGACTCCACGGCAGCCAGGAACTTGTGCTGCGTTTGCTGGTACTCCTCGCTGTGCTCGAATGCAAAGCAGGACAGGCCTTTCTTGGACTCCAGCAGCCGCATCGACAAGCCTGGGGAGGACACCAGGGCAGGCTCATCAGGTGCTCTTGGCGAGGAACCTCTGTGTGCAGAGTGCGAGCTGCCGCATCGAAGCATTGGTTCCACCGCTGAGCGTGGTCCCAGGTGCCTGCTGACTGCCTGCACCCTCCCTGCTCTTTTCCTACAGACGTTTCTCCTCCGAGTGTGGACAGAGGACCAACACCCAGTACAACGTGCAGGGGCCGGGCAGGCATGGAGGAGACATGACTGCAACTCACGACCAGATGCCCTTTCTGGCTGCTTCTCGTGCTCAACTTCAGGGGTACAGGGTCATTTCTGCTGATGAACCTGGAAACTCCCATCTCCCTTCAGCGCCTTCATGAAATAGGTCAGGGGTTCCCGGTCACCCCTGGCTTACTTTACTAGCACTACACTAAGGCACTCATCGCAGGACACACAGCTGACGCCCCCATCTCTGCCCATGCTCGGGGCCTCCCTTCCCTACCCCCCACCTTGGCCCGAGGGCTCCCAGGTGCTCCTCCAGGCCCTGTAGCCAAGCAGCCCCGACAGGACACTTACCCATACCCCATGCCTTTCTGCACGATTGCTATTTTTCTTTCAATTATGTGTACTTACTAGTTTGCAACAAAATATAAAATGTGACACTTCAAAAATGAACTTGATTGCTTCCTATGATGTAATACAAACAGGGAAAAGCAATAAGGTAGATAAAAAGCTGCATTAAAACATGGTCAAGCCTGGCCAATGTGGCTCAGTGGTTGAGCTTCAACCCAGGAACCAAGAGGTGATGGTTCGATTCCTGGTCAGGGCACATGCCGGGGTTGTGGGCTTGATGCCCAGTTGGGGGTGTGCAGGAGGCAGCTGATCCATGATTCTCTCTCACCATTGATGTTTCTATCTCTCTCTCCCTGTCCCTTCCTCTCTGAAATCAAGAAAAATATAAACACACACACACACACACACAACCATGGTAGAGAAGACACACCGTTGGCGTGGGATCTGTGCCCCAACACGGTGGCACCACGCCGGGCACCCGATCACACACCTGCACACAGCTTTGTAGAGGACTGACCTGGCCCAACAGGCTCAGACACCAATAGTGCCCAGCGTCGGCCAACGCACAACCCGCACCTCTGAAGCCTCTCACCTGGCTTGGCGTACCGGGGCCAAGTACTCTTAGGGGTCGTCAGCCACGTACACTTGGGGTACACGCGCTGTCTCTGCCGCGGCCTGTGGAGAACAGGACATGGCACCGCTTCACCTACACTGCCCGACTCCTGCTGGGCTGTGGGAGCAAAACCTCAGGGCGGGGGCAGGGGGGTGAGGCCACAAGGACAAGGACACACGTTTCTCTCTCTCCCCGTCTCTCTTCCTATCTAAAAATCAATAAAAACATTTTTTTAAAAAAAGAACTGTTAAATTAACAAAGGTCAGACTTGTCCTAGAACCGAAACTTCATGTTAGTGGTGACGCTGACTGAGCTGCAAGAAGGAACCTGCTGAGGTTCAGGCTGGAAGTTCACACTGGAAGCTAAGGGTTTGGGAACGTTGGCTACAGAGGCCCGAGCCAGCACCGCAGACAGCCACACTCCAGCTCCTCCCTGACCCACCCTCAGGCCCCTCACAACGGGCACCCTGAGGGTCTCGTTTTTTCACTGTGGCGTTGAGAACCCCACCTTTAATTGAGAACATGCCCGTGTGGGTCTCACCTTTGTTCCCCTAGGACAGCTCGGGCACCGAAATACCTTTTCAGTTCTGTGTCTGGATTTAAGTGTCTAGAGAATTGAAAATTTTAAAAGAAAAATGAAATTGAGTTCTAATAACAATTCTGAGAATTTTAGAAAGTCACATAAAAACCCAGTGAGGAAAACAGCTATTCTGGTGTCCAAGACAACGAGTGGGCCTGCTTTCCCTAACACCACGGCCCCCAGGCAGTGACCTGAGGCTGGCCACTACTCTCAGCCGAGTGAGGGCAGTGAAAGACCTGGACTCATCGGGATTCCCACCAACTCAGGACCAACCTCTACATGGGGACAGGGTTCCAGCATCTACAATCCAGGAAAACATCTTATGTCAATAATGTTCCCACACTGTCAGCTAGAAGTGGAAATGGAGGCATTCCCCTTATCCCCTTTCTCCTTGTCCTGTTTCCTGAATGTCTGATCATGCGCTTGTATCACTTTTAAATACAGTTAGTTTCTTCTGCTCCCAATAAGGACCTTCCTCGGCACGCAGTCTGCAGGCGCGGGAGAGGGTACCTGTGCTCCACATACAGGACGTGCTTCCTCGAGCTCAGGGGAGGTGGGCTGGGGTGGTGAGGGCCACTGCTGTCCTCAATCCTCTCCAAGATGCGATCAATGTCTTCCAGCCCATTTTCCTAAAGGCCCCAAACAGCAACATATTAATCCCCACCCTCACTTTATTTTACATGTTACAACAACCAATAACTGACTCATTTTTACAAAGCACTCATTTGCAATCACGTTTGCTTCCTGAAAGACAACAGGCATATAACAGATTCTTCATAAGAAGCAGCGCAGAACAGACAGAATCACAGGGCCAGAAGAGCCCTCAAGATTCTGAACCACAGGCTACATTTCTGGTCTCACAGGTGCACTCACCTGCTCAGGTAACTGAGCTGGGACTTGAGATTCTGACTGAACAGCCACAAAGACACAACCTCTTTTCGGAACAAACACAGGGGCAACGAGGCACAGGGGCAATATGGAAATACTCTTTCTGACACACGGCTCCTGGGGACATTTACGCCTCAGTACCCGGTATCGGTCAGGGCACAGGTGCAGCAGGCTGAGGGCTCTGCTGCCCAAGAGCAGCGTTTCGGAGGCAGAGTGGGGCTCTAACCCTCACGGAATGGAGCGAACAAACAAGCGGAATCTGGTAGGTAATCTCCCCTTTTCATGTCTCTGACTTCTGAATTAGTTACACTCCTAGCAGGAAGGAATCGAAATATCAAATAAAAACAACCTGCTTTCCTGTCCGTGCCAACAGTGCTCTCGAAAACATGGTGACATGCCTGAAACCTTCCCGACTTTCTGTAAGAAGCGTGGCAGGCACCAACCCCACAGGGTGGCACGGGACAAGAAGGGCAAGGACTTGCTGATATGCAGGGAAAGCGGTGTGAGGACAGGACGCAGTGGCTAAGCCGATTTTCCCCTAAAGACTGTGCTGAGGCTTGAATGCGTGGAGCCCAACTGCAGAGCTAAGGCCTGTGAGCGTTCTGAACTGGGAGCAGATAGGAAGAGAAAGGCCAAGGGATCTAAGCTTCATAATCATGTGACCATAGAACCTGGAGGACAGGTTTGCCACAAACAGATACGCAAACAAACAGCTTCCAACAGCCCCCTGAGAAACAGCCAGAAGACGACAGGGCAGCAGCCAGACATACCGAAGTTTCTCCTGTAGAACTTTTCTTATTTTTCTGTTTCTTTTTCTTCTTTCGGAGTTTGCCACTCACATTCGACTAATAAAAGAAGCACATCTTAGTCAATGTAAAGAGAGAATGAGATCTTAAACCCTGAGAATCAAAGCAGAAGCTGCAGAGGGACAGCGACACCGGACACAGGCTTGATGTCCCCTCCCTCCCACTTCATGAATGTCCTGTGACCTCACCGACTTCTCTCAGACAACAAATGCCTCCCACCAGTCTCCTGACTCCGTGCAGCCTCCACCTTCCTCTCACACCTCTTCCCGACACACCTCAGAGGTCCTTGTGACCTGACAACGCTCACAGGGTTCTGATATCCACCCAGCAGCGTTTTGCTTTCATCATTCACTTTGTCACCCACTCTCCCTGCCACAATCAGCCACCTGGAGACCAGGCCCCACACCACAGTCCCCACACCCATGCCTCTCTGCCTCAACACCTGTCACACCTTCACCTGGCCTCTCCTCCCATCATAGGGTGAAGACTCCTTGGGGAGCCCCCCTGCCCGTTAGGTCCGTCTGCCCCACCCCCACACTCATCAGGTCTCCCCAACTGTAGCTGTCAGTCCATCCATGTCACCCTCTCGACCAGAGGCTCCTGGAGGGCAAAGACTTGTCCCTAGAGCCCAGGAGGCTCCCAAAAGCATGTGTCGAGTAAATGAGCAAAAGGTGTCAGGTGGGACCCTCCCGTGTGCCATGGAGAACACAGAACTAACCTGGCCTGCACATTTTTTCAAGGCACATCCACCCAGGGCCCTGTCCACCTGCCTGAGCCCCAGATGCACAGTCATGAAGAGTGCACACCGCTGAGCAGGGGGACTCTCCCAAAAGGATCTCCTACTGTGGAAACTTGTTTAGGGGACCCCGGATATAGCACCCGTGACGTCCACCAGTCTTCAAGATTTCATGCACATCTGATCACAACTCCCGAGGAAATCTGGGGGCAACTGGGCATTAACAAGACGAAATTCAGAAAATGACAGCAGAGTGTGTGTGGCTGGGCACCCTTGTCCCCACACCTGCTCCAGGGGCCCTGTCCTGTCATCCACCTCTCCATCCTTCCTGGGCTCGGCACTTCCACTCTGGGACTTCCTTTTGCTCCCCGACACCACAGCTTCTGTGCGCAGACCATCGGACCTCTCCCCGTTCACCACAGGTCCTTCCTCAAGATCCTCAATGTTAATCTGTAGGAACAGAGGGGAGAGAAGAGGGCGTCACGGATCATCCCGTTACAAGTACATCCTGGAGGTACTGAGAGGCGTGTCAGTAGCAAGAGCAGAGAGGAGGTGCTGGGGGGCACCTTCAAGGCCACTCTGAGATTGTGGAGGAGGAACAGGAACATGTTATGCCTCAAAGCCCCCAGTGCCAACCGTCTGAACAAGTCCTGGTTCAGGGCTCCTTCAGTTGATGAGCCACAGAAAGTGCTGGGGCACAGGTGGCCCTGGTGTCCTGTCTTCAGAGCTGGCATAATGCAGAATCCCAGAGCATCACAACTTATTTCCCGCTCTGAGCGCCATTTGTCTGTCTAGCAAGTCCTTAAGTCTTTGTTCATAAAAAGAGCACCTGATGTGAAGATGCCGGAATTTTACCAAACGGGGTCTGTCTCCACCAGTAACAGGGCAATTCCTACCTCGGGCGCCTTCTTTTGTGCAGCAGCACTGGGACGCCAGGGGCTGGTTAAGATCTTGCAGCAAAGGGAGGAAGCTGGAATGAGGCCTCTAGTGGACATTTCCTCCAAACTGGCACCTACCCTTTCCCCAGCATTCAACTAAGGGTGCCACCAATGCCTCTCGGTGAAAGTGGGTGCTGACTTCCTATTATGAAGTCATGCTCCCTTCCTTTAAAAAAAATCCTATTTTTTGAGTCCCTTTTGGGAAACTGAGGTGTTTTAAGGAATTCATATTTGTAACGACCCCTATGCCAAGTTCAACCTCAACAGAAAGAACAGTGCGGACTCTATGCCTATGCTGGGCACCGGTATGATGCAGGAAACACAGGTGAGCAAAATAGATGTCACCTGCCCACACAAGGTCAAGGAAGCAAGAACAAGATAAGGCTCCCACATGCAAGATTACAGCCTGAGGCCAGCACTGAGACCCCGCTGTGCTGGACGCCTGGCTGCGGGGACGCGACGATGGGCAGCACACCATGTTCCACGTTGTGAGGAGTAAAGGTGAATGTTTGTAAAGACCCTGCAAGTGCCGGGGTGGAGATCGAAATCAAGGGACCATCCCCCAACCAAGACTCTGAGAAGGGAAGCCCCGCCCACCAACTGATGCACCGCCCCTCGACTTGACGACCACGCCCACTCCGCTGCAGCCCAGACCCCCACTGCCCCGCCCCTGGACACCACGGCCCCACTCCCAGCTGCGGCCAGAACCGGGCGTGGCCCCGCCCCCATGACTTCATGCACCGCCCACTCCCTTCGTCCCGCCCTCCCCACTGCAGCCCGGACCCCAGGTGGCCCCGCCCCCTGACGTCACGGCCTCGCCCCGCGCAGACCCGCCTCACACACCGCGCCCCCGTCACCCCCACCCCAGGCCACCCGGCTCACCAGCTCGAACCGATTGTTGACTCGGACTCCTTCCTTCCCTGGGCTCCGGGGGCGCCGGCCACCTGGCCCCCGCTTTGGTCCTTCTTCTTCCGCATCATCGTCATCACGGAAGCCAAACTGGAGGGCGCCGGGTCCGAGGGGCTCCTGTCCGCGCTGTTCCCCCCTCAGCCTCCGGAGGGCCCGGCGTGACATAGGACCCAACGGCCGCTGACGTGCAGGGACGGGGAGCAGACCGGCAGTAAGCAGAGCGGCCGCGCGCCTGCGCACTGACGGCGCTGGCGCGGGGCTGGCTGGACCTGCGTGTCGCGCCTGCGCGTTGCGCGCTCCGGAACTTCCGCTCTTTTCCGGTGTCACCTACGAAGGTGCGGGCTGGCCCGGACGTGTTCTCGCGCGAGTTGCGTGCCCGGACCGCGGCTTCTCCGCGTCTTCGGGAGACGTGCCCGCGACGGCTGTGGGGCTGGGCTGGGGGAGCGGGCGCCCGGGCTCCGAGCCTCCCGCACCGGGACCTGCACCCTGTTTCGCTGAGGGCGCGCAGGTGAGAGCTGGGGGTCGGGAGGGCCCGGCCCGCTCTGCGCGCCCGGCCTGTGACTCCTCGGCCCGAGTCAGAGGCTGCCCGCGGGACGGGACCCTCGTTAGCGATCGGCTCATCCAACCGAGTCGCTCCCCAAAGCTGCGGACTTCCGGACACCCCCACGGACCACCCTCGGGCGGGATCGACCGAAACCGATCCGCTCTGCTGTTTGCCTTTTGCTGTTGCCGCGCCGGGTTGGCCTCCTGCTCCTTTAGGTTTGGGAAAGCTGGTCCTGTGCGTCATAGCCTCCTGGGAGGCTTTTACAATAAAGATGGAGGGCTCAGGCCAAGCAATCCCGAGGGGCAGCATTGTTATTTTTAAAGCTCTCTGGGGAATTACAGTGTGCAGGCAGGATTGAGAACCCCTGCCCTGCCACCCAAGTACAAGGCCAAGATGAGCGGGAGTGGGGTGACGGACGATGCTCCCCTGTGGAGTCAGGGCAGCACCCTACCAAGTACCTCATCCTGCGAGGTGGGGGTCCCCCTTTTACAGGTAAAGCGGGACTCTAACGGGCACAGGTAGAATCTGGATTTGCATTCGCGCCTGTGGTTCCAGAGTTCGTTTGTGGAAGGCTACTGGCAAGGACGGAGAAGGGAAGGCAGGACGGGGTGCGCGCGCGCATGCCTGCACCGCCTGGCTGGTCTGGCAGCCTGTGCAGGTCACTTGGATCTGAAACACTTCACACCAGCTGGCACAGAGCTGCTGCCTCAAGCTCCCCAGTCTCCTAGAATCCCCGCTGCCTGCAATCCAGCTACTAAAGGGTTGTGCGCAGCCCAAGTGGGGCCTCCAGGCCCCGTGTCCATGGGGCAGGCATTAGAGCCTGGTGTCCAGTAGACCTCGGTTGACATCCCAGGGGAGCAATGTCCTCACCCACAGGGCGGGATGCCAACAGAAGTCGCCTCCCAGGCACATATGGGCAGGCAGGGCACAGGTATCCCTCCAGCCATTATCCGGAAGAGCAGGGCGGAGGTGCCCCTACCCTGCGAACCCCAAGGGATCTGGGGGATGAGGACAAAGGGTGCCACAGGCTGGCCGGTGACAGGCAGCAGCTAAGCTGCTGTCCCACATGCAGCCCTTGGTTCCACATAGGACTAAAGTGCCAGATTACGAAGTTGAGGGTAGAGAATGGGAGTGGGCCTGAATGCCCTCATCTCATGATGGGCATCCTGACTCTGCCTGGGGCGGCGGGGGATGCGGGACAGGTGGCCCCTCAGCCCAGCTTCTGCGCTTGGAGAACACACCCACTGCTGTGGCTGGGTAGTCCTTAGTCCACGCCCCAGACGGGAGATTGTGAGACCACCTTTATTGGGCCAGAGTGGCTGTGAAGACACACTTACAGGGCTCCTCCCGGTAACCAGACCGAAAGCATTGCAGGGCATGGTGTCAGGAAGGGAGTGAGTTTTGCTCCAGGCTTCCAAGGGGGTGGCCCTGGGACACCTGCCTGGGAGAATCTCGGCCCACTCAAGCTCCCCAGGTGCCCCCACAGCCCATATCCTGAGAGGGGAGCACAGATGCAAGTGGGACGCTCCAGTTCACCTGTGGACCAAGATGCCCTTCCATGCCTGGACATCTGCCCAAGGAGGGATGGAGCACACACACAGGGGCAGGGTCCTCCCCAGAGCCCCACCATCCCTTGTCTCCAGCCTGACCCCCTTTCTATCCTATGCCATCCCCACTCCACCCATGGAGTCTTGAGAGGAAACAGCCTCCCTGGGGAGGATCCTGGAAGTAAGCCTGACCCCAAATGGGCTTGGGGCCAGGAAACATATATAAATATATAGGCTGTGTATATGTTATATAAATGTATATGTATATATATATATATATATATGTACATGCACACTCCGGAGGCAGCTAGCAGCTGTGCCCCAGGATGGGGAGCGCTCAGCCTCATCCAGAACTGGCCTGGCTCCTCCCCAGAGGCCTGGCCACCTTGCAAAGCCTCGGGCCAGGTAGCCTGGGGTAGCAAGGGCTGTCACTTGAAGTCCAGAGTCCAGGTGTTGGGGATGTAGAGGGACTGGGTCTGGCGGGCACGGCGAGGGGTGGTGTTGAGGGCATCCACGCTCTTGCGGCTGGAGCACACCACGTCAGCCACGAAGCTGGTGCAGTCGCTGCAGACGTCCTTCAGGACACAGCCGTGGGTGTACATGTGAGGGAACTCCTCCTCCACACTCTGCCACTGGGGCCTCTGCAGGGATCTGGGGAGGGACAGGGGCGTCAGGGAGGCCCCCCACCGTTTCTCCACGTCCACACCCCCTCCCCCTGCATCAGGCACGCAAGGTGTTTGGAATGAACATGCCGAACAAAGTGCACCCTGGAAAAAGCTCTTCCTCGAGAGGAACCTGAGTCCTGGGCCCTCACCACCCAGCATGGTTTCCATCTCATGCTACTCAGCCCCCAGACGTCTGCGTCTTGTTTCCTTGGGGCCTCCCAGGAAACGGGACACCTCCCACTCCAGCTCCTGCGACACCGCATTGCCTGACACACAGGGTTGGCAAAGGCACGCACTGGAAGGCGTCTCTCCGCTGTGTGGCTGTGGCTCTGGCAGCTGTCACCCTCTGAGGATTCTCAAAGCCCAGCGTGTAGACAGGGATGTGTGCAAACTTCTTGGAGGGCATCTTCATCTGCAAACAGAGGGTTGTGGGTGGACAAAGGCTTCCTTAGAGACAGTCCAGGCACACTCGCCCCTGCAGCTCTCTCAATAGCCCCCGCCTGGCACCTGCCTCCTTCCACACACCCAGCACGGCTGCCCATATACAGGCACGGAGCAGGCACTGTGCGTTTTACACCATGCAGGGTCTAGTGTCGGGCCCCGTGTATAGCAAATACCTAACGCAGGACAAGGTGGACACTTTTCCACGGCTAAGTGGCCGGATATAGAGTCAGGGTCTGAAAACTGGTGATGAAAATCCCTCTTAAGCAGGTTCCTGTTTCTGGGCTGAGGCGTAACGGGGTGACACACTTACACATGTCATTGCCCGCTTACCTCAGTGCACACGTGTGTACGCAGACACCTGAACTGCTATAAAGAGCCTCCAAACACACTCAAGGAAGTTGCAGGGTCAGAAGCTAGGACTCTCGAGGGGAAGTGAAGGGTTTCTTGGCACTGTCCTACTAATATGGAATGTTAACAAAAAGCACCTACTAGGGTCTTTTAAAACTACAGTCTCGGAAAGGGTAGGAATGGATTCTGCCTTGGAGGAGGAGGTGAGAGATGAAAGATGAAGGTGGTGTCATCTGATAGGACACTGCAGACCCCCCGCCCCCACCCCCCGTCCCTTGTCAAGCAGCAGAATACCTGGATGCCTAGAGGCCTTGCTCAGACCCCAGGTGAGCCTCACCTTTATGCTGCAGGAAGTGCAGACGGCTCTGGAAGGGAAGAGGAAAAGCGTCAGCGCTGAAGAGGCCCGGGAAGGACAGCTGCTTCCGCGTAGGTGTCCCACCAGCACCCCTGCCGGTCAGCTGCCCTGGCCGCCTGCTGGGCCCCTGGTCGCTTCCGTACTCATTGGTTCTTCTTTAGAATGTCGGGTCTGGAGTGTTCTCATTCCCTCCAGACCCGATATTCTAAAGAAGAACCAAGAGGGGCAGAACAATTGTGGGTGTAATACTAAGTAAAAAGAAAAGCAAGATTTGGGAGTCCAATGAGTACTGAGGCGACCAGAGGGACTTCAGTGGAGAGGCTCCGTTTTAAGCAGTGATGGACATCTCTTATTCCCCGCACCTGACTTCATAAACAAACACTTTCTTGTGAAAATCTGAACGTAAGAATTGTAATTTAGAGGATGGAATCCTCTCCTCTAAAGCCCCACTCCTCAGAAGTGATCCCTGCTAGCAATACAGTCTTCATTCTCCTGATGTAAGTGTATGTTAACAAAAAGTACACTTCAATAAAAATACTGTTTTATAAAGATGCATCAGGGGCTCCTCCACATTAGTACAAACTGTCCAAATTCATTTTTTATGCCCAGCCAGTGAGGCTCAGGGTTTGAGCATCGACCTACTATGAACCAGGAGGTCGCAGTTCGATTCCCAATCAGGGCACATGCCCAGGTTTTGGGCTCGATCCCCAATAGGGGGATGTGCAGGAGGCAGCCAGTCAATGATTCTCTCTCATCATTGATGTTTCTATCTCCTCCTTCCTCTCTGAAATCAATAAAAAATATATAGTAAAAAATTTTAAATTATTATCCCACTCTGGCCCATGAATTACATTTCCACCATGGCCGGTGGGAGCAGACACTATTCATGGAACTGTTCCTTTAAACCTTTAGGGGAGGGTCAGTAAACTTTTCCTTTAAAGGGTTATGTAGTAAATGTCTAGGTGTGACTAAATAATGAATAATCAGTAAACAAATGGGAGTGGCTGTGTCCCGGTAAAACTCTATTTACAAAACAGGCAGTGGCTGTGTTGGCCCATGGGCTATAGTTTGCCAATCCCTGCTCTAGGATGATTCTTTCAAAGCCTCCAGTCCTGCCCTAGCCAGTGGATAGGACATCGGCCTGCGGACTGAAGGGTCCCGGCTTCAATTCCGGTCAAGGGCACATGCCCGGTTGTGGCCTCGATCTCCAGTTGGGGGCGTGCAGGAAGCAGCCAATGGATGATTCTCTCTCATCATTGATGTTTCTATTTCTTTCCCTCTGCCCTCTTCTCTGAAATTAATAAATACATATAAAAAAAGCCTTCAGTCATTTCCTTGCATGTATGTGCTGATCAATACTCTGCTGAATACTCTAAGTACTCTGCTGAATACTCTAAGTACTCTGCTGAATACTTCTGCATGTCTGAGCTCGCTCTCCAGACAGCTCGCTCCTCTCTGGACTCCTTGCTGGGGGACTCTGGAGCCCTGGTCTCCCTGGGTTCTCTAGGCTCAAGGAGCCAACCATTTTCTGACTCATGACCTAGCAGCTCTCGGCAGTTGAGACAGTCACAGGGCTAACCTATATTCTTCCTGTTTGCTGCCTGATATCCACTGTCTTAAAAGCCATTGCTTCACATATTTTGGCTTTTGTTTTTGTTCTTGTGTTTGTTGTGAAGGTGCCTGTTACCCCACCTTGGCTGAAAGTGGGAACCCCTTAGCTATTAGAATTAAAATCAAAAATGTTAAGTTCGGTTCCTTAGTTGCAATATCCACGGTGCAGGACAGGATCCCCACCACCACAGGAAGTTCCATTGGACAGAGCTGACCTAGAGCCTTCTCACCCCGCCTCCCATGGTGATTCACAGCCGAGCCCGGTGCTTACAGAAGGCTCACCTCTTGCAAAAGAGACAGGTGGACGGCCAGGAGAACAGCGGGAACTTGGTTCGGCAACAGCAGCAGATCTATAAGAAAAGGCCTTGTTAGAGCCCAGTTTAGTCCAAAACTCACTGGATCCAGTCCTGTTCCCCCCAGACCCCCAGCCAGGGCTCCGGCGGGCAAGGGACAGGGCGGGGTGCGGGCCCTCACCTTGCCCTTCTTCAGGCTGCTGAAGAGCTCCTTGTTCTGCAGGAACTTCTCCATCTCCGCCTTCACCAGCACACGGCGCACGTCCATCACCTCCTCCACAGTCAGAGCCAGGCTCTCCACGGGGTGGCTGAACTCCTGGGGGGGGAGGGTCCAGGGTGGGGCTCACTCAGGCCCTCTCTACAAGTGCCCTTCCCCAAGGACCCTGACGTCCGTCCTCCTGGCCTCAGTCTACCCGAGCCCTGCGGACGCCCCCCAGGGGCTGAGCCGGACCCTGAGCCACATCTGGATCCCTGACCCTCAGCAACTGAGAGAGACAGTACATGTTCGTTGTTTTACGCTGCTGAGTCTGGGGCAAGTTTCCATACAGCAAATGGTAACATACAGAGCCCGGGAAGCATTACCTGTCGCGGGGGAATATTAAGAACAACACTACCTTGCCTTCACACAGCTCTTACACTTTTCAACGCATTTTAACATCTGTTCTCCTTTGAGACTCTTTTAAAAAATATTTTTAAAATTTATTTCAGAGAGGAAGGGAGAGAGAGAGAGAAACATCAATGATGAAGAGAACCATTGATCGGCTGCCTTCTGCACGTCCCCTATCAGGGACCTAGCCCGCAACCCGGGCATGTGCCCTGACTGTGAATGGAACCTGGGACCCTTTAGTCCGCAGGCTGATGCTCTATCCATTGAGCCAAAGTGGCCAGGGCTCCCCTGAGCCTCTTGATAGAACGTCAAGGAAGTGATAGAGACCACACCCCTGACATCTCTCCACATGCCAGCCAGCGGCCCCTTTGATAAAACCTCACTCCACGGCTCAGGTCCAAACGCGAGCCTTCACAAGACAAGTCACAAAATTTCACCTGATGAGACTGAGGTGCAGGGAGGGCCAGCATCTTAGAGGCCGAGTCGGGACCGCCTCACCCCAATAAAACGCTCCCCTGTCGCCTCACGAAGCCCTCAAGGCACAGGGTTTCTCCTGCTTCCTAACCACAGAGCTGGGACAAGACTCCACATGCGGCTGCCCCTTGGCGAGGGCCCTCCGCGGGGGCCGCAGTGCTCACAAGGCCCAGGAGGTGGCAGCAGAGACCAACCTGCCCAGATGGCGGCCCAAGCAAAGAGCAGCCACAGACCCCGACCATGCCTACCCTCTGCCTGGAGCCTTGTCGGGGTGAAGGGTGCACTCACCCAGCCGCCCTGGACAGCCAGGCCCCTCACTCACCAGCCACAGGTGACTGGGGTCGGCGGCCGCAGAGGCCTCTGGCCTGTCCTTCGCTGAGCGCAGGTCACTGGGTCGGGGGGAGCTGGGGTCAGCCTGGGACTGGACGCTCACAGGGAAGGAACCTGGAGGAAGAGTTTGGAAGCCACGTCAGAACAACCCGGCAGAATCCTGGTGTGGGAGGGCTGCCAGGGGCCGAGGGAGACGCCAGATGGGCAGCGGGAGCCGGTGGGTGGTTTCATGGCAGAGGCGGCAGTCCTCAGGCAGAGGGTCAGAGAGAGAGCATGTCACCCCATCACAGCCCATGCAGTGCAGGGGCCCAAGGGATCCTTAAGGGAGTCTGAGCCCATGAATGAGCCAACGCGGAGAGTCCCATGATGGAGCCACGGCAGCCACGGTGCTGGCCACGCAAACCAGACGTGCTGGCCACACAGGGCCTTCCTGCTCGGGGCCCTGCCCACTGCATTTCATACGGAGGAAGGAGGCGCAGAAGGCAGGCTAGCCCACCATGGGGTCTGAGTTTCGAGCAGAGTTTGGGGGGACAGTGAGGTGTCACCTGGCCTGGCCTGGACCTCTTCACGCCAGAGAGTGAGTCATAACTACCAAATGGGACCGTCCTGAAAGTGGACTGTCACATGCTACGGTGACCCCGAGGGAAGCGAAGGGGCCTGGCCATGTCGGTCCTGCTGGCATTTCGTGGAGCACAGCCTGTACAAGGGTGGGACTAACCTCATGGCCACAAGGACCGATCTGTCCTCTGTGCTGACCGACAAGGAGGAGGAGGCACCCCGCCCCCCCGTCTGGTTCACTGAGGACACAGGCCCACCGACAGAAACACAGCTAGCAGGACCTATCGCTAAGCTCCCCTCTCCATCCATCTGCCCATCCGTCCACCCCTCCATCATCCATCTTCCGACAGTCATCTGTCCATCTGCCCAGCTTTCTTTCTGTGTACCAATAGACTAAGAGTGATTACCGGTAGGTAATGGGTTTGTGGGCATGTTTTTAGTTTTTAAAAAGGTTTTGCAATGAATATGGGTTAGTAAGTTGTCAAGTTAAAAAAAGTGGGGTGCGCCTGCCTGAGCTGGTGCAGACAGTGTGGGCCAAGGGAGACGTACCCACAGGACAGGGCGAGGGCGAGGGAAAGGGGGTGAGAGGCGGCACTTGCCCTGCTCCTGGGTGCTCGGCCGCCAGGTGTGCATGCTGCCCGCGCGGGCCCGGGACGGCTCCAAGCCTCCTGGGGGCTGGGTGGCTGGCTGCAGGCCAGAGGCCACTTCACTCCGCAGCTGGACAAGGTCGTGCTCTGAGAAAGAGCGGTCCCGCTTCAGGGTCACCTCCCCACACGGAGACTCTTCCTCCTGCGGACACACCAGACCCAGCCTGACCTTCACCTTTTGCCCACCAGCACCTCCTGCCCGTCCCTGGACTGAGGCACAAGACACGCGGTACTGCCGGGTCCATGGAAGCCATAGGGCCGTCCTCCAGCCACTGCCCAGACTGACTGTCCTCTGGACAGTGGAAGGCAAGTGCCCCCCAAACCAGGCAATTCCCTGCAGCCTCTGGAAGGTCTGGTGTCAGGTGGAGCCCACTGACCTGTCCTCCACCTGGCCTTCCTGGCCCTGAGGCAGGGAGGACGGACAGGAACCACGCTGGGACATGCTGGCTTTTCACATCAACCAGGGGCTGCTCAGCCTCCGGCCCCAGGATGGCAGCCCTCTTGTGCTATGGGAACGAGGTGGGGGTGCAAGGCCACTGTCCCTGTCACCCCGGAGTCCATCATGCTCGCGCCCAGGGAAGGACACCTGCATCGGCAGAGGGCACTGCCCGAGGCTCTGAGCAGCGGGCGCCCCACACTGGACGCTGCGCCTGGACTTGCTCAGCCCCTCCTCACTTCCTGCCCCCCCGGTCTCTCTCAGGAGCCTGTGAGTCTGACCTCAGACGTGTTCATCTCCTCCATCTCCGCCAAGGTGGGCGCCTTGAGCAGGACCCGGGGCCGTGGGCGTTGGGCACAGCTCCCGGCATCCGTGACGGACAGGTTGATGCAGGAAGTGGACTTGACATCCCCGGAGCAGGCGTTGAGGATACAGGGCAGAGAGCCAAACCCTGGGGGAGTCAAACCCGGGTGGCGGGGGCAGGACAGGATGTCAGGGGGGAAGAGTGCAGGGAGGGGGGAGGAGCGGCAAGGAAGGGGGTCCCTGGCTCACCCCGGCCACCCCAGCGCTGGGCCCCCACGGGGCGCAGCCTCCGCTCCTGCTTGATCTCCTCCAGGATCTTCTCGTGCAGGGTCCTCTGCTTCTGGGGCAGGGGGCGGAGCCTTCTCTCTGAGACCTGCAGGGGCGTGGCCGCACAGGGGGCAGTTAGGGAGACCCACCAGGAGCCCTGCACAGCGGGGAGCAGACGGTGTCCAGTGAGCTCCCGGGGACGCGTCCATCGAGACCAACCCTCGGCACCTCCCTCCGCACAAATGCCACACTGTCCGCCGGTCCGGGAAGGGGCCCAGAGGTGAGGGCCCCGAGCTGGCACCTGCTTCAGCGGCGGCCGGGAGCGGATGAAGTCGAGGATGAGCTCGTGGGCGTCCTTCTTCACCCTGGGAGGGATGTCCCCATCGACCTGCGGGGGCGGGCGGCGGCTCAGGGCCTGGTCCTCATGTCCTCCTCCCTGTGGCCGTCAGTGTGGCCCAGGGTCCTGCTCACGGTGCCCACATTGGCGCCGCCCCACACTTCCCTGCGTCTGGGGTTCTTCGTGGGAAAACGGGGCCGTGGCACCACCTCCCGGGGTCGTCATGAGAACGAGATGAACCCGCACATTCTTAGGGTGACAGCGGCAGCGGCCACAGGGGATTCCACTGGACCATCCCGCGGCCTCCGCATCTGCCCCCGGTCACACTAGGAATCGGGGCCACGTCTGCCTGCTCCCACGGGACGCCCGGCAGCGGTGGCCAGCACACAGGTGGGGAGGGGCGGGGAGGGGAGGCGCCCGGCCGGCTCACCATGACCTTGCGCAGCTTGTAGTTCCTGGCGCGGATGTCCTGCATCAGCATCTCGAAGGGGGTGAGCTGGAACTCGGTGGGCAGCGGGTTGAACTCCTGCTCCTGCACCTTCTTGAGCTTCACTCCGTGGCGAAGCTCCCGCATGAGCTGGACCCAGAGTCGGGCCTGGGCCCCGAGAAGGTGAGAATGGCCCTGAGCCCCGGCCAGGACTCCCGGGGCCCTCCAGGCACAGGTCCTCGGGGTCCCGGGTCAGGGAGCCGCGTCTTACCCAGTCCGTGTGCCTCAGGTTGTCAAGCTCCGCCAGGGGCTGCTCCGCCTGTGGCTCGTCCTCGCGAAGCTTCTGCAGCATCTGTAGGTCCAAGAGAAGGTGGGAAATGGCAGCTCAGGGTGTGGGCGCCTGCCGGGCCGTCACTGTGGCCTGTCTTTACCACACGGGCTACTATTCCACCAGCAAGACTAGGGCCCAGGCTCGGGCGCAGAAAGGTATCTGGGAGAACTAAGCCATCGGCCACGGAGCCACATGGGACACCTGGTGCCCCATCGCCATCCCTGGCAGCTTCTCCTTGGCAAGGGCAGGGACAAGAGCCCAGCACCCACAGAGAGCCTCTCTTGCCTGGTCTGCGTGCCCCAGCAAGGCGTGGGGCCCCCGAAGAGGGCACGGAGCCGCTCTCCCGCGTCGGAAGCATTTTCCCTCAGATCCCAGCTCACAGCCCATCCCCAGGAAGGCCTTTCTCAGCCTCTTCACCTGGACCACACCTGCCCACCCGCTCAGCACACCCACGACCACACCTCCGCCTGCAGACCCAGCTACAGTTCTGCATTCATCTGCTTCTTCAATGGTAGTCTGCGCTAGTGACTCCATGAGGCCAGAACCACATTTTCTGTCTTTGTTTTTTTCCTCATGTTGGTATTCCTGTCTCCTTAGCACAGAGTGGCACATGCTAGGCCTTAAATGTTGGTTGAATGAATGAATGGATGGATGGGTATATGGGTGATGAATGATGAATGATGGGCAGGTGGGTGGGTGGATAGATACATGGATGGATGGATGGATGGATGGATGGATGGATGGATGGATGGGTGAGAGGGTGAGTTACTCAGCAAGTCCTGGAAAACAGTCAGGTATGTATTTTATGGGCTGGGGAAATGCCACCAGCATGTTCAGGGCCATAGGAGGGCATCAGGGATTGTTGGGTAACCACTACGCTGAGAATTTGAGAAGAAGCTGCTAGGTTTGCTGCCTCCATTGTCCTGGGTCTTGGCAGCATCTGGGGTATCTGTTCTCACCAGCTCCCCCACCTGGAGAAGCATCTGCCCTTCAGCACACAGCTCCCCGCCCCCCCCCCCCCCCCCCAACTAAGACAGAACCGGTTTCCCTGGCTTTAGCCCCAAGCCACTTGCCAAACTGCTCTAGAAAAGGCTGCCAGGTCTCTGAGAAGCACAAGGTAGTGATTCTAAAAATAGGCCTGTGTGTGACCTGGTGGTCCCTGTGGGCAAAGGGCACGAGGTGTGTCTCCCATCCTTCCTGGAGCAGCACACTTGTCCCTGAGCAGCCGGTGTCCCCCCCACCCCCGAGAGAACCGCCTTGCACTCACTCCACTACCAATTCCCTGACGTTCTCATGGGTCAACTGCTTGAAATCTAGAGCTTTTTAAAAGAAAGAGCGTCTGTCCTCTGGGTCAGAAATCAATCCCAGCCATGGAACGATGACTTCTGAGCACCCACTAATTGGAGGGGTAGCAGGACATCTCCAAGATGCAGCGGAGGAGTGGGGAGGGATGGTCTGTGGGAGACGGGCAGGGGCCGAGGAGCCACCCCCCTTGGAGTATTGATGGGCTGCAGACAAGGGCCAAGAGGCTCATCGACTGGCTTAGTCCTGAGCTGGGTCCCAGCCCCGCCAGTCAGAACAACCCTGAGAGCCTGCTCGGGCCAGAGGGTCAGGGAAGCTGCCCGGAACGCTTCTTGGTTAGAGGGCACGAGAGACAGTGCCCGTGAGGGCTCAGGGTGCAAGCAGGGATCAGCACCGTTGAAAGAATACCTCCTGCACTCACAGGAGAAGGGAGCGCATGCCCCCGACTTCTCCAGGGTCCACGTTCTCCTCTGTGAGGTGCGAACGGGAAGCCGAGCTCCCCACTTCAGTTTCCTCCAAGACCCGGAGAGTTGAGGGGCAGACTGTCAGCTCCTAACTCTGAGACCACCCAGGGGCAGGGCAGCCCTGGGGAGACCACCAGCCGAGGCCCAGCTGGGCCCTGTGCGAGCTCTGTGACTGGGAGAGGGACACGGCCGCTCCGAGCCTCCAACCGCTCTTCCCTAAAACAGGCAACAACCACACGGGACTTGGTTACCCTCTGCCCCAAGGCTCCAGGCACCCCAGCACCTCTGTGGGTCCTGGGGGCAGGGAGCAGCGGCTGCCTTTAGCACCTCATCTTGAGGAGGAACAGCACCTGCCCAGGTGAGCTGGAGGCAGGAGGTTGATACCTAACTGAGAGGCCTCTCCAAGCCTCCCGTTCCCTCGATCCCTCTGTCCCCTCCTCCCCTCCTGCCTCCTCCTGAGACCCCTCCCTTTTGCTCACCACCAGCGCACGCACGGGGTCCCCCACCCTGTCCTTGGCCCCTTCCCCCTCCTGCCTCCGTCCACCCTGTCCCTCCCCACACGCCTCTCTGCTCACCTCCTTGGCCTCGCGGACCCTGGCCAGGAAGGCCCGCAGCTCCAGCGTCTCCACGAAGAGCGCGCGGCACACGGCCTGGTAGTGGGCCTGCGCGCCCCTGGGGTCGGTCAGGCGCGCGGCGCACAGCCGCATGGCTTGCGCGAAGGTGCGCACGGCGCGGGGGCCGCCCTCCGCCTCCTCCTCCTCCTCCGGGCCCCCGTAGCCCTCGTCCGCCGCGCTGCAGCCTCCGTCCTCGCAGTCGCTGTTGGCCATCAGGTCGATGAGCCGCTCCAGCTGCGGACTGAGCTCCCGCTCCTCGCTCTCGTCCAGACCCCAGTCCAGTGCGCGGTAGATGGCGAAGCCCAGTGACTGCACCATCTGTGGGACAGGGGTCCAGACCATCAGGGGGCAGTAGGGGGGTGGGGGGAGGGCACCACCGGAGAGGGACCGGGGCTGGGCCTGAATCACAGGCTGACAGTGCGATGGAAGCAGCCTGTCCTCCACGGGTGGTGTACCATGGGCCACCAGAACAAGACCCTGGCCCCCAAGTAGCTCAGCCACTGGGAAAACATTGGCCAGTTCTTACAACCAAACATGCATTTACCACGTGATCGGCAACCCGTCTCCCAGATGTTTAACCAAGAGACGGGAGAACAAGCATCCACAACGCCTCGTCCTGGGATGCCCACAGCGCCCACGCCTGGGTGTCCAACTGTCTCCCCTGGTGGACGGCACACAGTGTGGCCCCTTCTCAGAGTGGAAGCGGAGGCCACTGCGCCCCTCACACCCCACACGCAGAGGGGGCTGGCCCAAATCCCCGCCGGTGCATGGTTCCCTGATATCAAACTCAAGGCAAGATAAGTTTCCTCTGTAGCCACAAAAAGCAGGCCCGTGGTTCTGAGCCGGGCTGGGCTGGGGGCTGGAGGGGGGCAGGAAGCTCGGGTGATGGAAGAGGTCTGTGTCCTTGTGTGAAACCACATCTGTCAGAACCCGTCAAACTCGAGTGTAAAGTACACCCCCAAAAATTCGATTACAAAAGACAGTGGCATCCTAATTAAGTGCCATTCCTTTCATGTAATATGACAGACACTGTAAGTCTGAGCAAGACCAGCTTACTGATGCACGCTGCTGGAATAAACCCCTTAACTCTGCATGATAAAGCCTGACACTTGAACTGATAAGAGATGACCTCCTCATTTAAGTATTTTAAACTGCATGTAAATGTCAATGTGTGTAAATTTTGCCTGAAAAAGAAAAACCTAAGAAATAATCGTATTTGTAACTGGTTATAACTGTCAGAACCCTAGCTGGGATTCACAAAGCTTTCTGTTTTTTGTTGTTTTTTTGTTGGTTTGTTTGTTTTTAAATATATTTTATTGGTTTTTTACAGAGAGGAAGGGAGAGGGATAGAGAGTTAGAAGCATCGATGAGAGAGAAACATCGATCAGCTACCTCCTGCACACCCCCTATTGGGAATGTGCCCGCAACCAAGGTACATGCCCTTGACTGGAATCGAACCTGGGACCCTTCAGGCCACAGGCCAACGCTCTATCCACCGAGCCAAACCAGTTAGGGCAAGCTTTTTGCTTTTTAAAGTGCAATTAGCACATTAAAAATCTGTAAGCTAAGGTGTGGCTCAGAGGTTGACCTCCTATGAACCAGGAGGTCACGGTTGGATTCCTGGTCGGGGCACATGCCCAGATTGGGGTTGTGGGCTCCATCCCCAGTAGAGGGTGTGCAGGAGGCAGCCAATCAATGATTCTCTTCCACCATTGATGTTTCTATCTATCTATCCCTCTCCTTCCTCTCTCTCTAAAGAAAATCAATTAAAAAAAAAAAAAGGACACTAGCTCTGCTTATGCTGGGCACTGTGCTGAGCTGGCTGCCACCTAACTTTGCAACAAAGCACCGGTAACCTCCCGTGCCACAGGGCGGGCACAGAGGCACAGAGGCCAGGTCCCTTGCCTGCAGCTAGCAGCTGGCCGAGCTGGACTTGAGACTCTGGTCTGCCCGTGGCCTGGAGGGAGGCTGCGTGGTGGCAGGTGGAGCCTGGCCCTCACCAGGGCACCTTCCACTCCCCGACCATCTGGCCTCAGAGGACCCCCTGGCTCTCCTCTCACTTCCTGCCTTCCCACCACCCGGCACCCAGGAGCTGAGCAGAGCTGAGCTAAGGAGGGCAGACGGTGAGCGCCAGCATCGAGCAGGGGACGGGTGCGAGAACAGGGCTCTCTGTCCTGCAGACTGGCCTTAGAGAGCACCCTGAACACAGAGGGTGCCTGGGAGGTCAGCCAGGCTCAGGGACTGGTGGAAGGGAAGGCTCCAGCCCAGAGGATCATGGATCGGCCGCCCTAGCCACTCCTGGAGGCTGTCTCACCTCTGCTTTAGGCAGGCGGGGTCACAGACCCAGCTTGAGTCACACCTGAGAATCACGAGTCAAAGGGTAGAGCCCAAGGCCTACAGGCTGCTGACACCTGACAGGTAACTGCAGGGCCCTGGCCAGGGGAGCCCCCAGGGCAGTAGGCCAGAGGACCCCCTTGTGCCCCTCAGGATGACTTGGTGGGCAGGAGCCACCATTTATTTATTTATTTTTTAGAGAGAGAGGAAGGGAGAGGGAGAGAGAGAGAGAAACATCAATGAGAGAGAAACATCATTGAGTGGCTGCCTCCTGCACGCCCCCTACTGGGAACCAAGCCTGAAACCCGGCCATGTGCCTGGACTGGGAATCGAATCAGTGACCTCTTGGTTCATGGGTCAATGCTCAACCACTGAGCCACACCGGCTGGGCCAGAAGCCACCGCTCACACCAATTCCCATCAAGTCTTTCCTGGCCCAGAGGTAGGTGCCAGGAATAAACTTCATGTCTGTCCACTCTGGGTCTGACCCCCGGGCCCTGCTGACCCTAGTGGTGGCTCTGACCAGGTCTGTCCAATGGGGACCACTCTGCCACAGGGGACAGGACAGACAGAGGCGAAACAGAAAGGCCCTCACCCAACACAGCACAGCGCCCCGCCATGGGGCCTCCCCCTCACTGTCCAGGCGGCCTCAGCTAGCACCACGTCACTGGAAGGGTTAACTCCATCAGAGCACTCAAATGAGAGCTGCTCCTAAAAGCTTCTCTATGCCCCATGCACCTGGAAGGCAGGCACATGCTTTCCCATAAGGAGAAATCTGGGCAGCCAGCCAGAGTCCCAGGACCTCCAGCCCTGCCTGCGGGCGGCGGGCCAGCGGGGGTGGGGGTGGGGGGCAGCCCAGTAATGGAAGGAGCCACGGAGAGAAGGAGCTGACGCTGCAGGCCGGCTCCGGGAGCCGCAGTGAAAATCAGGGCCAACATGACAAGTGTGCCCCTGGCCGCGTTTCCTGGGTGGGTATCAGGTTAACCTGTGGGCCCCACGCACAACCCTCCAGATTAGACACCCCCTAAAGTCCCTTGTAAAAAGCTGCAGAATTGATAACCACAGGTCTCCTTTGCAGGGGCCGGTGTGGACCGGAGGGACAGCCCTGGGGACACGGCTGAGGGCTGAGGGCTGAGGGGCGCCCCGTTCCTGGGCTGCAGATAAGCACCTTATACAGAGCATCATGGGGCGCGAAGGGGCCCGAGAGCCATGAGAAGCAGTGGAGATGAGTCTTGAAAACAGATTGTTGTTTTCCTCCAAACTCCAGAAAACTATACAGGATGGGGCAAGGTAGGCTTACAGTTGTTCGTATGGGAAATAATACAACAATTAATAAGTAATAACACAAGGATAAACTGTGTGTCCTTACAACGGTAAACCCACTTTTGCCCACCTGGTACATAGGCAGCACAGAACTCAGAGCAGCCCCAGCGACACTGTTTACGCAGCCAAGGACGGACCTGCTCACCGACATTACTGAGAGCTGCCAGCAGCTTTGGGATGGTTTTGTTATTGTTTTTAAATTCTCCACAACAGAGGATGCAGCCTCTTTCGGCCTGAGCTACCACCCCCCTCCGCTTAGTATAAAGCTGTGTTTAATAGAAGAATGTGTATTTGCATAAAACTGGTTTTTAAAAGGCAGTGGAATGATAAACATCAAATTCAGGACAAATTACCTGGGGGCAGGTCACTGGGGGGCACAGGGAGAAGTCCTACTGCTGAGGTGTGAGTTCTGAGGGATGTGGGGCTCCTGGGCATTGCTCATGCAGTTTTCCTCCGTGGCCCCCTGACCCACACCCTGCCAGACACTCTCTGGGCCCCCAAACATCATGCCACCCTCGCTTTCTCAGGAGGTGGAAGGAGAGGGGGGTAGGCTATCATGGCTCCCCCTCCCTTTAGGGCCATCGAGGCTCTGGGGCCCACACCACCCACGTGGGCTCCCCCCCGTCCCCCAAACCTCTGGGGAAATCTCTTCCTCAGGTCCCTTCAATGAAGCCCTTAGAGAACTGTGTCTGTGTCCTGTCCCCCAAATCAATGGTGTAACTGTATGTTTTCTAATTATACTATACAATGCACGTACGCTTTAATATGTATCAAGTAAACGTAAAAATTGTTCTGAAAGTACCTGGGCTTCCGAACTGGCCGGTGACACCACCATCATTGTGGGCTCTGCAAGAGAGAACAGGCAGTCAGGACAGGCCTCACCCCTCCGACCCCAGGAACGAGGAACGGGGGCCCAGCCACCTTCCCCTGGGGAACAGACAGCTCAAACCGTTCCCACAGCAGGGAGCTCACAGCGGGCAGGGCCATGGCCATTTGGCCATTTGGAAAGACCCTGTAAGACCCAGCCATGAGCTGGATGCCCAGGTGAGGGGCCAGGACAGCAGGGCAGCCCCTGGCCACTCGAGGTGTGGAGCCGAGCCGAACGCCCCCAAATCACAGCAGAGCTCCCTGGCTGCCGAGCTGGGTAAGGGCATCAATCACCACTCGATCTGGGATGGAGACCCGGGGGCAGGGGGCAGAGGGGGGCTTGTTTGCCCCAAGCCGTCCCAGCTAGGAAGTGGAGGTGCAGGGGGAGCTGCAGCCGCCCCTCTCCCTCTCCCCGCAGGGCCTCCCAGGATACCGGCTGGGTGAGACCGGACCCAATGCTCCCACAGCCTTCCCTGAACTCGGCAGGTAGAGCTGCATTAGACGGAGGTCAGCTGCCTGACATTCCTTCTGGAGTGAGGGGGATGTAAACACACCAACCGTGAAGCTGTCTGCTAAGTGAACCTGCTAACTACGCAAATATTTTCAAGATGCCGTCAAGCGCCAGGAAGATCGCCAAGATAAAGGGACTCCGTGTCGGACAGATTCCGTAAAATAACAGAAAACCCAGCACCAGCGGAGCTGAACCAGTGAGAGCCAGCGGCCCTGTGGCTGTGCTGGGTTCCAGTCAAAGTCTGCGGCTGGGATGGGGTGGAGGCCGAGGGAGAAATCAGACTCAGAACAAAGGTGCCCCCTGACCAAGAAGGGGGTGCAGCCAGCCTTCAGGGCTCCTCACTGACTGAGCCTGTCTCCGATTTTTAAAGAGAGTGGGTGGGAGGGGGGAGAGGCAGAGAGAAACATCGATGTGAGAGAGACACATTGATTTGTTGTCTCTTGCACATGCCCTGACCAGGGCAGGGGATCAAGCCTGCAACCATGTACATGCCCTTGACTGGGTTCAAACCTGGGACCCTTCAGTCCACAGGCCGACGCTCTATCCACTGAGCCAAACTGGCTAGGGCTCTGGTGGAAATAATTTTAATGCTTACATCCATGGCTGAAATAATCCATGTGTTAACCAAAGTAAATGCTCAGGAATCTAACTGTGAACTAGGGGAGACTTTGGGTTGGGATGAGCAAGCTGCCCCTCGGTGAGGTTTGGGGCAATGGAGGCCGCGCCCAGCTCTCTACACAGAGCCCCTGGCTATCCAACGGACACATGATTTGTTACGGCTCCAGCGGCATCGCCACCTGACGGAGGTTGGTGCCATGACTCCCTCCTCACAGATGAGGAAACTGAGGCTCAGGTAGGTGAAGAAATGTACCCAAGACCACAGAACTAATCAGTGGCTGGGCTGGGACCCCCACACCGCACCCTGCCAGACCCCAAAGTGTAGAGACCTCACCCACCCAGAATATGCAGGCGTAACTACCAGCCAGGGCTTCTCGGTCCCTGAGGGACGCGCGCCCTCGCCAAGACCGACTAGAAAGGTAAGGCTCTCCGGTTTCCTCTGTATGAAGTCACAGATGAGGAGGAATCGAGAAGCCATGAGTTCTCTTTGAAGTGATCCCCGGCCGTAGTAGGAAGAGATGAAAGGTGTCATTTGAAGAAGAGTCTGTGGGGACTGCAGCCTGGAGTTCCCTGGAGCAGCTTCAAGAGGAAGTGCTTCACCTGCCGCCAGGTGGGTGGCGGGAGGCTACCTGGCAGCTGTGGCCCCTGCAGCCTGGGGTGTGTGTGGAGGGGGAGGGGGGGGCAGGGGCGTAAGAAGCATTGTTCAGGCCAGATCCCTACCCACCTCTGCCACCTGTGGTCTGACCTGGGGTCTTGCCTCTCTGACCTCCTCTCCTCACCTGCAGATAGAGATGACACCTGCCAAACTAACTCAAAGAACCAGCGAGGGAAGGAGGGCGGACACTTCCTGGATCAGATGGCCTGCAAGGACGTGGAGGTTGGGACCAGCGTGATACACTGTCCCAGCAACGGCAGGGGGCCTCCTACCTCCGGGGACTCCGGCCCAGGACAGGTAGTCTTGGGGTCAGGTCAGGGAATGGCGTGGAGGAGACCCCACCCATCTCGGGGGAGGCCGGCTATGCCCGGGCCCCCCGAGGCTGGACCCCAGGGGCCTTAAATACTGACAGTTACCGAAGACAACACAGCAGAGGGGACTCCCAGCCCAGAAGGCTCCTGCCTTTCACATCGCAGGCCTGGAGCAGCCGCGTGGCCCTGGGACAGACCGAGGCCGTGCTGGCTGTGGGACTGGCCCCCACTCCGCGCTGGTGGGAGATGACAACCACCCCAAAGACACACACCTCCCAGAACCGCGCCTGCTGGCCTCCTGGCTAGCGTGGAAGGCACGCCCAGGTAGCATGCCCCCGCCGACCACTCACCCTAACAGCCACACCCGCCAGGGGACCCTGGATAGCCACCAAAGAGAGGGAGGTGTCCGTTGTAATGAGACAGGCCGAGCACCCTTTTAAGGGAAGTAGCGGAGGGAACCCCGTGTTTGGGGGTGTGTGTGCTGGGCCTTCCGCTGCGAGGAGGCTCGGACTGCGTTCCGGTCACACTCTCTGAACTTGGAGCATGTGACACACTGGGGTCAAGAAACGAATCCGTGTGCGGGTGTGAGAAGGGGCGAGCCAGCCTCGCCGCCTCGCTCGGAGCGGGGTCTGCGGGAGAGCAGAGCGCGGAGTCAGACAACCTGTGTCGCTGAGCAGCCACCTCCTGGGCCTGCTCTTAGAAAGCAGAGCTCCGCCCGTCCAGGTCAGTGTGAGACGGAACAGAAACACCCTGGGCCTGGCATCGTCCGCCGCCCACACATGCTTGCTCCTCATCAGGAAACAGACTTAAGCTTCAGTGAAGGAACACCGAGGCCCCGCACGCTCCTGAGGAAGGAGCAGCGAAGGCGGGGAGGGAAGACGCCTGCCCGAAACCACGGAAGTCGTGTGTTTGTTTAGCAAACAGAGAGCTCTCTGGGCCAAAGGCTCTGTGTGTGTGGTGTGGCCCGTGTTCCCCACTTCACTTCCGCCAGTGCCTCAGGGTGGGTGAGGTCAACGTGCTTCGCCAGGAACTCAGAGTCACCCACAGGTCCCCCCCGCCCCGCGAGCAGGAGCCAGGACCCCCAGGAGCCAAGTCAGTTCAGTGGAGACCGAGTTGGGAGATGTGTGCTGGCAGTGCCCTAAGCAATACACGCTCAGTCTTGCATCTTTTTTTTTTTAAATCCTCACCTGAGGATTTTATCACTGATTTCAGAGAGAGGGAGCGAGGGAGAGACATATCGATTGGTTGCCTCCTGCACACGCCCCAACTGGGCCGGGGATTGAACCTGCATCCCAGGTACATGCCCTGGGTGCCTGGACCGGGAATGCAACCTGTGGCCCTTTGGTACTCGGGCCGATGCTCTAATCACTGAGCAACACCAGCCACAGCTGTCTCTGCATCTTCACAAAGTTCTGGGGCCTCCGTTCCTACAGACCCTCCGCTCCCAAGACCTGCCAGCGTCTCTCAGGGAGGGCCCAGGGAGACCCGCCGATGGTCACATCGACAGGCAGCAGCCGGAAGCGATGCCTGACATTCCACTCGGCTAGGGACGGCTCACGTGAGCTTCCCCTTTAGTCCTCACTGTCGCCCCACTGTGCAGCCCAGAGAGGGTGAGACGTGCCCAGGGTCACCTGGCTGATTCACCCCCCGCCCCCAGCTGCTGGCCTCGCTTCCCAGACCCTGACGTGTCCCCCTTGCTGACAGTCATCCTGGTGCTGGAGGTGTCCCAGCAATGGCAGGGGGACCCCTTCTCAAGGTGAGGCCCAGGGGACCCCTTCTCAAGGGATGGCCCCAGGGACTGTGCACAGACAGGCGGTCCCACAGTGGGCCCTGGGCCCCATGGCATCAGCATGGGGGGAACGTGTCAGAAATGTGTATTCTCGGGCCACTCCAGACTGGGCGGAACGGACGCTTCAGGGTGGCCCGTGATCTGTGTGCCTGCATTTAGCACGTCCACCAGCGTGAAAACCGCCCCCCGAAAGCGTCGGAACTATAATTCCTGGACCCAGTGCTGCCGTTGCTGCTGCTGGAGGAAGTGCCCCTCCCACCGGCTGGCTTTTCCACTCCGTGGTGGGCAGGACACTGTCGCAGCCTGTCCGTGCCCCCTCCCAGGCCCTGTGCACACAGCCTGTGACACTGCAGGGGCTGGGCAGCAGCGGAAGCGAGGTTGCTAACCATCGGACCTTAAGGCAGAGAATCTGGATTTCTCACCTCTGACGGTAAGAGAATGAACCTGTGTTGTTTCAAGGAGTAAATATGTGTAGTTTGTTACCGCAGCCAGAGGGAACTCTTACACCCTATCCCACCATCTCCCACTGTCCAGTCCCTGGGGAGAGGCCACAATGCCAATGCCCTCCAGTGGGGACAGCAGTGCCCACGCTGGACGGATGGCAGTGCCAGACGGAGCTGGAGACAGTGAGGGGCGCTTCCCCACACGCCTGGCTCACCTCAGGCTGATTTACGGATTGCTGTTCACCGCCTCCAGGCAGCCTTCCTAGAGGCCCAACTCCCTATGAGGCGTCTAACAGGATCAGAGCGAAACCCCAGTGTCTTCCTGTGGGTGATACTCACTATAGTATCTACTTAAATGCCTACATCCCTCAACCAGACCAACCAGTGCTACACAGCTGCCTCTGTGGGGCCACCATGCCCGGGTCGGGAGAGTGGGAGGACCAGGGCCCTGAGGGTGGCAGAGGGGCTGGAGCCAAATCTCAGGGTGCACAGGGACCCCACGGGCCCCTCCTCAGGAGTCGAAGCCTCTCCTAGGAGCACAGGGCAGGGTTTGCACGTGGGGGTGGGCCCGGCTGAGGCGGCCTCGCAGGCTCAGTGTCTCCTGGGGTCGTCAGTGCACAGGCAGTGTTACCCATGTCTCCCAGAGATCCCAGCTGGCCAGGGACTGCCTTCCTGTGAGATCATGCTTGCTCAGAGGTGAGACTACACCGGGAATGCCATCTGCAAATACACCCAGCTCAGTCACACCCAGACCGGCGCCCTTCCCAGAGCTGCACACTCCCACACACACAGCGGCCAGCGGGGCCCTCACCTGGCTAGCTGCTCATGCAGCACCTTTAGCCTCCACGCCCATCTCTGAGGGGGAGCGGGTGTCCTCTGCATGGAGAACGTTTTACATCATCAAAAGTGTGCACATGAGCATGCATGTGTGCGTGTGTCTGTCTCTATGTGTGTGTGTACGTGTGTCTGTCTCCGTGTGTGTGAGAATGTGTCTCTGTGTGCATATCTTTGTATTGGCGTGTGCACATTTGTGTTCATGTATGTGTCTGTGTGCACGCGCATGTGCGAATGTGTCTGTGTGTGCAATGTTTGTATTGGCGTGTGCACATCTGTGTGTGTTCATGCATGTGGCTGTGTCTCTCTGTGTGTGCATGTCTGTGTGTCTGTCTCCATGTCTGTGTGTGCATGTGTCAGTGTGTATCTGTGACTGTGTGTGTGTGTGTCTGTCTCTGTGTGCATGTGCACATATGGTGCGTACCTGTGTGTGCGTGTGTCCACATGTGCTTCCTGAGTCCAGGGTGGATGCAGACTCCCTACTGATGCTCCCTCCACAGTCCTTCCCTCCCAGGCATATTCCACCATCACCCCAGTTTATGGAGGAGGAGTGGGGGTACCGGTGAGATGCCGAGCCCTGGCTGGAGGTAAAGGGTGGCAAGTGAACCTCAGCCTCATGGAGCTCATGACACAGGGATATCATATCCAGTGCAGGGCAGACTGAGTTTCTGGGTTTGGAAGCCTCGTCCACACAGCACGGGTTGTAGGGGGAGCTGCCTGCAGCTTTACCCTGGAGACTGCAGCGCTTGAGGGTCAGCGCCTCAGGTCCACAGGCAGAGAGGAAGGAGTAGGAGGGGCCTGGAGGGACAGGTGTGACCTGGCAGACAGGTCACATGAGAAAAGGCAGGTGTGACCTGGTGGACAGGTCATGTGAAGCACTCAAGTGCTGAGGAGTGAGGCCCAGAAAAAGTTTTAGCATCAAAACTGACAAGAAAAAATATCAGAAGAGTAGGGCAGTGTGCAAATTAGCGGGGGAAAAATGGAGAAGGTATGGGGAGGGGAAAGAGAGGAGGGGATGGGCACCCAGCTGTGGAGAGCCCAGGGCCTGGAGAGAAGTACGTTTCACTGGCAGATACAGACCATGAAGGTGGGGTCTCACATCACGGTGACAGCCAAGCCCTGCACCAGGTGGACAAGTGCCACTGCAAGCATCCCAGGGCCACCTGATCTCCTACAGCTGCTGCGGTTAAGAAGCGAGCTTTGCCTGGGGCCATGGCTCAGCACAGCACTGCACAGGAAGCTTCCTGCCTCCATTAAAAAATAAAAATAAAAAAGGAAGCCTTTCCCATCAGGAGGCTCCATAATGGCCTCTTAAAATAACTCCACATGTCACCTTGCTTTCCTTTTCCCATTTTTAAAAAAAGGGGGCTTCTAAGCAGTTACAAAGATGTCTTCAGACTAAAGATTAGGAAGAGGATTGTCCCGGCTTCCCCATGCAGCCGAGGGGAGAAGGGTCCCATGGGCAAGTGAAAACACTATTAGTTATTCCCCCAGGGTGGCTGAGTTTTGTGGTTGATTCCTTGAAAATTATTGTAAACATTTACTTAACCTGAGGACCTTCTCCTGATTGCTGTTTACAGCGAGGAATAACCACGCGGCTCCCGGGGCCACTCCCTTATCATCACTCAGGCCCCGGAGGCCAGCGGGCAGTTGGTCTAAAGTTCCAGCTGATTCACGAGAGGTCAACAGGACAGAAAGTTAGATGATCCATTTTCCTTAATCTTGAAAAGGCAGCCTGTCACTAACCGACTCCACCTTTATGAGGCATGTTTATGATCAGAAACCAAAGATCGTATGGACTGGAAAATGAAATTGGGCTCCTCAATGGCCTGGGCTGGTACCTCCCCATAGAGGTCAACCTAGGGTGGCCACTCATGAGCTTTGAACCCCAGCCCATATTTCCAGTTGACCTGTGAGCATGGAGACAGCGGGACATGCTATTGGGTCTGCAATGACCAGGAAGAAGGGGTTGGAGAGATGGACAGTCCCTGACCACTCCCTGGAGGCCTGCCCTCTTGGTACACTTTGGAGAGTACCAATAAGAAACCCAGTGTGACTCTCACCGTTAGAGGGATGCAGGGTGCATCTCCGTTCTAACCAGCTGCTGCGATTTTGGGCAAACTATCTACTACTCTGTGCCTCAGTTTCCCCATCATTACAATCAGAGGGTCAGGACCAGCAGGCCTGTCCTGTGGTGCCAGGAGCCAGACCCTGAGTTATATTGTCTCGGGGGGGGGGGGGCGCGGGCATGGGAATGGTGTTTTAATAAGGAAACTAGAGCTGCAGGAGAAACGATCTTTGTGAATAGGTAACCCCAGGGCTCTGCAGGCGAGGAGGCTGTGGTGCACGGGGCTCTTAGCCCAAGCCTTTTTTTTTTAAATGTGTTTTTATTGATTTCAGAGAGGAAGGGAGAGAGAGAAACATCAATGATGAGAGAGAATCATTGATCGCTGCCTCCTGCACACCCCCTACTGGGAATCAAGCCTGCAACCAGGACATATGCCCTGACCGTGACCTCCAGGTTCATGGGTGGATGCTCAACCACTGAGCCACACTGGCCGGGCCTAGCCCAACCTCTGAGGACAGTGGACTGAGTGCTGAACCCCAGCCCGGCCGCTTTCTGTGTGACCGTGAGTGGGCCTGTGCCTCAGCTCCCTGACAGGAAAATGGGAATGACAACGCTTACAATGTTCCCCTGGCAAATTTCACCTGACTCGGTGCTTTCAGTGCAGAATAAAGCAGCGCACAGTGTCCCACAGCAGAGGGGGACGGAAGCAGGGCACAGGGACCAGGAGAAATAGAGCCATCATTCCGGGCAGGGTTCAGCAGACCCTCCCTGTTACAAGCAGCTGCCTCTTCCCTCTAGCTTTGCCCCGGCCCTTCCCAGTCCTCGATGGCGCCTGCCCTGCCCGTAAGGATCTCTGCAAACCCACAGCTCTCAGGCTGGAGAGGGTCCAGCCCCTCCGGCACACACAGCGGTCTTTGTGCTTCCCGCAGAGTATCAGCTTCGGGTAATAGCATCATACACTCCATACCGGTATTCTGGTTCCCCAGGGAAGAAAACAATTTTTTTCCTTAAAGAGGCAAAAAGTCACCCAAATTCATCACTCTAAACGGACTTCAAATACCTTTCAAGGGCTTAACTGTTGGTTCTTATTGATGATTAAGAGCAGAAAAACTACACAAGTTGTCTCCCAAGCTGTACACATGCTCCCTGCTCTCTAATGAACCCAGGAAATAGGTGGGAATCCAGGGAGGCACGGTCCCTCCTCCTCTCAGCCTCCAACCAACGAAAAAGACCCCAGGAGGACTTTAGTTCCTTTCCGGCCCAAGGCCCGGGGTGGATGCCACACCAGGAACCACCGGGTGGAAGAGACCACAGCCTGAGCCAAGGCCCTGGCCCAGGTGGGGAAACTCAGCCCCATGCAAGGTGCTCAGCCATCCAGTCCCTCTCCTCCGAGGCAAACAGGCCCAAACGCACAAAGCACCTGACACTGAGTTAGGAGAGGTGGTCCAGGTTGGGGGAAGGGTCCAGGAAAGGCAGGGGGTGCCCTAGACTGGGGGAGGGAGGCTTGCAGGTAGAGAGAGGGAAGCATGGGGAGGCGCAGGGGACTTCCATGCGCAGAGAGAAGGCGAAGGGCCCCCTATCCAGCAGAGAGGGGTCCAAAGGGGCGCCGGGTCCAGAAGAGGGTGGGGACAGGGAGCGCGGACCCAGCAGAGAAGGAGGGAGGGAGAGAGGAGGGGTCGCCGCCGCAGCCCCAGGAGGAGCCCGCCCGCCAGCCCAGCCCCGCGGCGCTCCCCACCCTCCGCGCTGCTGGGCCCGGCCACACCCCCGCCGGCCTCACCCGCGTCGCCGGGCTCCGGCCTCGCGCCGACCGAGCCGTCCCTGCGCAGGAGGATGTCCGCCGTGTCCCGGATGCGCCGCCGGCCGCCCGGCGCGCCCCGCAGCCCGCGGCAGCCCTGGAAGCACACGGCCCACGCCTGCTCCTCGTTGATGGGCTGCTCGTACGCCTTCAGCACCTCCTCCAGGGACAGCTCCCACGGCTCTGGCCGCCCGCCGCCCGCCGCCCGCTCCGTGGCCGCCGCGTCCGCGCTGGAGCTGCCGGCCCGGGCCATGGCCGCCCCATCATCGCCGCCTGCGCGCCCAGCCGGTTTCCATAACAGCCGCGCCGGGGCGGCCGACGCACCCGCCGAGCGCGGGGGGCGGGTCCCGCGCCTCCTGCCGCTGCTTTGTCATCCCCGGCGGCCCCGCCCCGGGCGCGCGGCGCAGGTGAGGGCAGAGGAAGAGGCGCGGGGCGGGAGGGGCCTGGGGAGCGAGCGGGGCGGGGAGTCGGGAGTGGGGGGGCCGGTAGTAGGGGGCGCGGGGTCGGCCCAGGGGGGGCGCGCACCCAGACGCGGTTCTTCCCGCCCGGAGCTCCCGGGAAAGCCAGACGGCGGGCACCCACGCACGGCTCTCACTCGCGTACTTGCCCGGCATCCAGCCCCAAACACACTGCAGTGTTTGCGGGGGCCTGGGCGCGTTTACGCTGGAATGCGGGGGAGCCGGGAGGACTGTGAATCATCCCGCCAGCACACACACACACACTCACACACACACACACACACACACACACTCATACACACTCTCACACACTCATACACACTCTCACACACTCATACACGCGCGCGCGCTTGTGGCGGGCCTGCTGGCAAGGTGACCTCAGGAGGTTACCTTAGCGTGATGAGGGCGAGGGAGGCGGCCCAGTCTGCGATAAATGCTCCACTGTCTCCAGGAAAAATAGTCTCAGGTCCCCGGTGGGTGAGCTGCACGCCCTCAAACCGAGACTGTGCCTTCATTCCCCGCCAGCTCACTCACCGCGTGGGAAGAGTGGCACCCAGGCAGCTTTATCCAGGCCAATCCGAGACCTCTGCGGCCAGAGTTGTTTTGTTTTGTATTTTTTTAATCCTCACCTGAGGATATTCTCCCCCGCACTCCCCCATTGATTCTTAGAGAGAGTGGAAGGGAGGGAGGGATGGGGAAGAGAAACATCAATGTGAGAGACATATCAATTGGTTGCCTCATACACGCACCCGAGGGGGCTGGGGATTGAACCTGCAACCCAGGTACATGAACTTGGCCAGGAATCGAACCCTTGACCCTTCGGTGCATGGGCAGATGCTCTAACCATTGGGAAACCAGCCAGGGCTGCAGCCATAGTTTTACATGGTCAGAGTAACAGCCAAATGCAACCGGAGAATAAATGGCAATAAGGCAGTGAGTCCCAGCCGGGATTCCCTGGGGAGCACACAACATGCAGATTCCTGGAGATTTCTCTCCGAATCGAGGGAAACTTTGGGTTCTGAAGTTCCCTGGTTGTTCCGAACAGTCACAGCAGCGCCGTGATTTCATCTCATTTGAAGGAGACTTGGGGTGGGGGGTGGGCTGTCGCCTGGGGCCCTTCTGTCAAATAATGCCATCTGGAGTTTCAATCTTAAAATGAAAAGGAGTTTGATAAAGACAGCCCGTGCCCAAAGTTTCTACATTCAGCAGCTGGGTAACTTTCAGTTCTAAGCGCATGCTGCCAAAATAACCGTGTTAGCACTCGGGAGAGGGGTCAGGTGGGACCTATGCTACCTCCTGAAAAAATGGTGCAAAGAACCTGGGACTCAGGTAAAGCTTCCTGCCTAATCAATCTCTTTCTCTCTCTCTCTCTCTCTCTCTCTCTCTCTCTCTCTCTCTCTCTCTCACTCACACACACACACACACACACACACACACACACACACTTGTCAATAGAGGGAAGGAAGAAGTTTCAAGGTCTGCCTTGGGATGGCAACAGTAAGGACCCCTCAGTGCTGCTCAGTGGTTTAAGGAAAGTCCCCCCTGACGCCTGTCACACAATGCCAGGTGTGTGTGACCTGGGGCACTGGCCTCCCTGCACCGGGAGCTCGTTCCTGATGGGCCTGCACCACAGGTGGTTTCTGCTTTCGACTCCGTGGGAGTCAAGACTTCCATCTGCATCACCTCTGGTGGAGGGGGCACTCCCGGCCCCATGGCAGGCAGGCAGGCCGGGCCACCCTCCCCCCAGGGTGTCTGGAGCACCTTGAACGAGGCACCTGCCACACTGAGTGACTGGACAGAGAAGGTGACTGGAAGCTGGTTGGGTCATAGCAAGAAGTAACCTCCCCTTTGGCCCTGGGTTTCGGCACCACACAAAGTGCCTTCCCTGTTCCTCTAAGGCAGAGGTTCTCAACCTTGGCTGCACATTAGAATCACCTGGGAATCTTTTTAAAATCCTGATTTCTGGGCCTCATCCTCCGGAAATTCTGTTTCTTTGTTACTAATGTTGTGGCCCCACCCCATAACAAAGAAACAGAATTTCCGGAGGATGAGGCCCAGAAATCAGGATTTTAAAAAGATTCCCAGGTGATTCTAATGTGCAGCCAAGGTTGAGAACCACTGCTCTAAGGGACTCCTATTTCCCTGGCCACATGGTTTTAGGATCTCATTTGATGAGCAGGGGCTTCATTAAAGACCTGGCGACAAGTCACACCTGGCTGACCCAGAGGCCCTTGAGGTCACCTGTGTAAGGGGTACAGTACCCTTTCTGATCTGGCATTGATCATTTTTTAGGGATCCCTGTGCATGTTGCAAGACATCAGCTGGTGAGGTTTAGAACACTGGGGTTTTAATAAAAGGTTTTAAAAATTAGTTTTTACTTATCTCTTGGTGTCTGAAGGTTTGTCCTCCTGGTTGTGATCAAAAGGAGGAAGCAGAAGCATCGGTCGGCTCCCTAGATGCGCCTGGCAACCCTGTATTTCCCTCCTAGGTCCCTTACCCACACATCTCCCCCAGAAAGTACCACAGGAGACCGAGAAGTAGTCTGAAGGAGAGAGGGAAGCCGGCATGGCCTAAGGGTGGGGCGGTGAGAGGGATTCCAACCTGGCACACTGGACTCCACTGGAAGAGAAAACCGGTCCGATTGGCCCATGTCTCTGGCCACTAGACATACCCAGGTTCTGGCTGGCTGGTGGGAGCTTTGGGCACAGTGATAAGTTGCTCCCACTAGTCACAAAGTCGAGATAATCCTTTCCGTCTGGCTGGGTCCCAAGCACTGCCCACGTTTGTGATTGTTCAGACTGAGGGCTCTGCCATGAGGAACTTGTGTGTGTAAGCTGGCAGTTGTCTGGGCTGCACACCAAGGGGAGTGCCGATGCCAGCTTCTTACCCAGGAGCACGGCATAGGCACCTGGTAGGGAGGGAAATGGGTTTATTCCTGTCGAAAATGGCACTAGGGTTAAAACATGGGGCTAGTTGCCCATGAAGTATGATCAGAATTAGGGATATGTTAGTTCTTCCATAACTTGAACATGCCACTTGGATTTTAGAAATAAACAGTGTATTTCCGGCTGTGACTGAGAAGCACGGCAGAATTGATCGAGGTCAATCATTAACTCAGCTTGGACAGCTTTGGAGCAAGGTCGTTTCTACAGTTACGGGATCCCCTGCAGCCTAAAAATGTGTTCTCCATACTTCATTTCCAGTCCATGAGGAAATCCCAGGGGCCGGACATGACCCTCACAGTGGGCTGTGCTTGGGGACAGAAGAGAAACGTTTAGTGCTTGCAATTGGAGTCACTTTTATCAAGTTATCACATTAGCAGACACAGTCCCCAAATATTCACCTGATGGTGTAGGATGTCCAGTCACACATACTTGCTGAGCCCTGGGCATTGATGTCCTATGCCTGGGAAAGACCAGTGAAAACCCAACCCAACCCCCCCATTCTGAGGGGGAAACAGCACCCAGCCTTCCCTAGGGCTGGGTGAGAGCTACAGGTGCTCCATGTGAAGGAACCCACTGGTGGTTTTTCCCATGCTCTGTGTTTGGTGTTTGGTGGCTCCTGATGCCAAAAGGATCAATCGGGCTGGATCCCAGGTGCGTTGTGGACCGGCAGTTACAGGATTCTAGGAGGGGAATGCAGGGCTTCAGCGTGCAAGGTGGCACAGTGAGGGCACTGTGTGTATTGAGACAAAGGTCAGAGTGAGTCAGTGCATGGGCAATTGGGTTTAAGATCAAAGACAATTTGAGCCCGTGGACTCCCCTAGATGCAGGCAGACAGCTTCAGCTGTGGAGAGTGGGGTGCCAAGGTTCTCTCTCATCCCCTCGCTGATTCCACTTCAGATCAAAAAAACAGGTCGGCTTCCCCCAAGGGATCCAAGCAGAGTGAGTGGCCAGGCCCCTGTTGCCATGGCTCAGAGGCCCCTGAATGCCCTCTTTGTCTGGCTCCTTACAGCCAGGCATGGTTCAGGGGTCCGGGAGGAAAAGCTGAAATGTGAGAGGCCGAGCTTTTGTGCTTTAGGTTTATTTTGGGATAATGATAAAGGACATGAATCCCAAGGGATGCTAATAAAGCCAGGCCGTGTTCGATGTCTGAATGGGAGCCCAGAACAGCTCCCAGGGAACGTTTCCAGGCGGGTGGTAGAGAAGGTGAGGAGGGAGAGGAGACACAGAGCACCGGACAGGACGGGACACAGGTCCCAGAGCTCGGCCAGGATGACGAGGGGAACCCCCAGACGACCACCACAGACGGGGCGTCCTATGTGGGCACGAGTAGGAGAGGGGGCTGCTCGCCCTGGAGTTCCTGATGGGGAGGGAGTGGAGAAAATACGGAGGATACGGTGTTCTCCCCGTTGAAGACATTGGAGGTCATTTACACAGTCCGAATGTGTGTTTTGAACAGGGAGTGCAGGGTGGCTAAAATGAGTGGTACACTTTCAAGTGTGCAGCCCTAAGGCCTCACAGCCTGCAGTCATGCCTGTTCCCATCACAGCCGACATCTCTGTGAAGTTATAGAAGTCACTACCAATCTGTGTTGGCTGATTTGACGTGGTTTGATGTGTGCACACTGGCCCCAGACACAGTCCCTGTCGCTGGTCTTTTAAGATCATACCATACTTTTGTGGTATACTTACAAACACACAGGTCCCCTTTGTACACTGAGGGCAGAATGCTCTCCACCCTGTCCTGTGCTCTAGGGTAGGAAGCTTCCATTTGGGGGGACACGTCCAACCCCGAGGGGTGACCCATCTCAGCTCTGTGGCACTTGGGACCCTCCTGGACCTTGACCTGTGTATCTTCATCTGGCCGGTCACCTCTATTGTTTAAAAAAATTGGTAAACATGTTTCCTTGAATTCTGTGAGTCACTCTAGCAAAGTAATTGAATCTGAGGAAGGGGTCGTGGGACTCCCCAATTTGTTGCCAAA